TATTTTCAACCTTCTGGTCAATAGCTCTTGAGTTGTGATTTGAATATCGAAGCCAAATTCATTGAAATTTAAAACTTTCATTTTCGTTGCTTCTCATTTCAAGCAGAGTTCAATTTGCATTACAAAGTCAGTACCTTGTGCAAGGATAGAGCAACTGGTCATCACTTAAAAAGAACGTTTTCTGCCTATTTAAACAGTTTGCCATGAATTCTGAATGGAACAGCCCAGCTGTGATCTTTTAGTTATAGCGTTTTTCAACCTTCTTGATAAAATCCAATTTCTTTTAAATCTGAGATGGTCAGTTTTTGGTGGAAGATGGAAAGTTCGACGTCTCATTGCATGTCTAAATAAATGAAAAGGTCAAAGGTGGCCCAAAACTGCATCAAAATCAAATGTGAAACTGAGCATCTAATTTCCTGATATTCTGCTTGGCTGCGTGAATTTTCAAGCTTTAAATGTTAAATGTTTTCTTACAATTCAACTGCTTTTTTGGTTGCAACAAAATTGAAGTATCAAAATTTTTCCATAGGCGATGAATGGAATTTATTTTAGTTCTGTAAAATTTTACCATGAGCAGTTCAAACATTTCTGTGAATGATGAGCTTTTCGCGCTTTCACTGGTTACAGAAATTATCTGGAAGAAAGAAGTAAAGGTGAAAATAGAAAAAAATGAGCAGAAAAAATGTTGACATTTTCTTGCATTTCTCTGCCTACAGCTTATAATGTTCGTTTACATTTACATGAATAACATTATCACATGAAATACATGGTGAAATTATAATAAGAAAAGTAGGAAACTATGGATTATCAGCTATTTATTGTCATTCCTTGCCATTAAATTTATGAATTTTACTCATAAAACAAACGAAATAAAATCGATCAACTCATCAATTGTTCCTTGTTTCAGTTGAAATCTCATTTATCCATGAATATTGAAAAGGAAAAATTGAACTATCGTCAACTAGAGACAATTGATTTTCCTTCATGAAACAAAAGAGTAAAAATTGATTTACTCAGTTTCCCATGTAAATAGTAATTCATCTTATTTTCTCACCTTTTTTTCATTCTCAACTTATAATGAATGCTTTTTGTGCAAAATAATTGATCGACTGAATTGATTAACTCAAAATTGAAGCAAAGGTAAAGTTTACTTGAGACAAAGGTAAACAACGTCAACAGGGAATGATGAATATCTTTTCGTTTGTTTTCCCTGTCAAATTGTAATCAATTTGAGCTTCAATTCAACCCATCAATAAATTGCAACTCTTTACTTATTGAATAATTTATCAACTTGGATTGTTTGAAAAAGAAAAGAAATTAGCCCAAATTGAATGAAAGGGTAATTTAATGCAATTGGATATTTTTTGCTTTTCTTTTTTTCGTTTCATGCTGTCAGGTTATTCCAAGTTGGAACCTTATGAAACGAAAAACTGAGTTTCTCAAAATGCTTTTTGTTTTGATTGCGGCCAATTTGAGATTCGATTCATTGCAATTCAATACAATCTTAAACAATCTTCATTTGTCCATAAAAGTTGCCATCAATGAGCCACATTTCAAGATAAACTCAAATTGATTGATTCTTGTTTCTGTAAAGAATTGTTAAGATGAACATTTCAAGTTATATCAGACAAGTTGCGAACTTTGCATTTTCATGAAAAATTCAAAGTTGGTTAGCATTCAATATAAATGAACAGATCTTTCGCTGATGAGGTGAAGAATATGGAAAGATGTTTACTGATAGTTGAAACTCTACTTGAAATAATGAGAGAAATTTCGAGAAAAAAGTTGTTCTTTTCCCAGTCAATTCGTTGTTCAAGATTTGAGCATTTCAAGTTGAAAGGTAGAGTCAAAATAGCTCGGTGACTTTTACAGCTGAGGTAAACCTTTGAACTTACTAATGATTTTGCACCTTTGCTTTCATTTGACTTTACTAATAATATTACAAAATTGGAATCCCTTGGCAATGCTATTAGTCGTTCAAGGTGCTCAACTATTCAACAAATATTTTCAACGTAAAAGCCAATTTGTCTTGTATTTTTAAGACTTGATTGAGTGAGATTAAATTAAATTTAATTTAATGGACCATTAAACCTGTTTCTCTGCTCTTTACCTGCTTCTCTCAGGGAGAAACAAAGCTTTTCATGTTAATCATGAAAATCTTACCTGGAAAAGTTTTTTTTTACTCGAAACAACAAACTCGACTCTCGTTGCTCTGTTGCGTTGTCTCTATCCTTTCAGCACTCTAGTTTTTCATGAAAATTTATCGTCCAAATGGGATTTCTTGGTTCATCTGTTTGAGTATAAAAAGGCTGAATCAACTGAATGTTTTGCACTCTTAAGTAATTCATTTTTAAAGGTAAAAGTGTTTATCATTTACAATTATTTACATTTTGTTTCTCCTTCTTGCCTCCAATGAATATCAATTTCATGAATAATGAAATGAACTTTTTTTTACTTTTCTCTCAACAATTCGACTCAACTTCGAAATAGCATTTTGACAGAATCTCTTTTTTTGTACATTCCAATCTTGACAGTTTAATTAAATTATCCTTTTAGATTTTTGAAATTCTGTAAGTTTTTTTTCTCTTCGCCATCGAAATAATTGATCATCAGATTGGTTCAGTTCTTGATATGATTTTATCAGTCAACAGCATTTATGAGCTAAAAATGTCATTGAATTGAACTGAACTTGCACTTTCAATTTGATGGTGGGTTAAGGTTAGGTCAGGTGAACTGATATTTATGGGGAGACAATGGTCGGTGAAATGTTGAACAACTTGAGTAAAAATGCTGAAGAATAAGTATGGAAATGGAAATCGTAATTTCATTCCATCTTTTCTCGGTGCTTTTTCCTTTCAACTTTTTATCTATTTTAATATGTTATTCCAGGAAAAGTGTGAGGCCCTACGGGATGTCAAAGGTTGTAGCGTTCACAAAGTGATGGTTAACCTCTAAATAATAATCACAATTAACATTTACTGAGAATACTTTTATTAGCACAAATAAGAGATACTAATTTGTGAGCATTGCTCACAAACGTTAATCAACTGATTACAATAAAGATGAATTTAACACATGAATAATAATTGAATTACTTCTACTTTAAATACTATTTGTAAAGAGGAAAAGGAAAAGAAGAGTGGAAAATAAGAGTGAAAAAACTGAGGGAACAACTGTTAATTACAAACTGTGAATGAGAAAGACAAAGTTGGAGTAGACCCCTTACAGATGCCCCCACTTGATCGGTACACGGACTTTCCAGTTAAGTTCGAGGACGAAGTAAATATGAGAACTTTGTCTTTGTAAACCTGTATGGAATCGGTCTTGGTTCTGGTTCTGGATGAATAAAATTCTCTGGATCATAAGAAAGGTTTGCTAGCTTCTTTTCACGCTTCTCTTTAGACATATATTTGTACATTGCAGTGGTTTTTTTAATTGCTGATGGCCAATCTTCTATGCATTCCATGATATCTTTGATTAATCCTGACATGAGGTAATTTTTTGGATAGATATAGCCATAGTAGGAAAGATGAATTCTGATTGGAGTTGATTTGATAATTTCTGAGTGAACTTTTTCGATTCTCTGGTAGTCAATAAGATATAAATACATTGTATTTGCCGCATCAATTATTGATGAGTGTTCATGATTCTGTGTGATTTTGCCAAATAGAGCGAATATACAATACTTTAGACCCATTTGTGGATGATTGTTTCTTGCATTGTAATAAGATGAAACGCAGATGATTCTATTCAGTAAGTAATTATGATCAATTGGGTTGATCATTATTCTTGGGACTAGCATCCTCGCCATTTGTGAGGCCCTACGGGATGTCAAAGGTTGTAGCGTTCACAAAGTGATGGTTAACCTCTAAATAATAATCACAATTAACATTTACTGAGAATACTTTTATTAGCACAAATAAGAGATACTAATTTGTGAGCATTGCTCACAAACGTTAATCAACTGATTACAATAAAGATGAATTTAACACATGAATAATAATTGAATTACTTCTACTTTAAATACTATTTGTAAAGAGGAAAAGGAAAAGAAGAGTGGAAAATAAGAGTGAAAAAACTGAGGGAACAACTGTTAATTACAAACTGTGAATGAGAAAGACAAAGTTGGAGTAGACCCCTTACAAAAGTAAACAGGAACTTTAAGAATGAATGAATGAACAAGTTTCCAATTCATTTTTATTAGGTTGACAGTAAAAGTTCTGTTCAACTTTCATTTTTATAAGGGCAAGATTAACTTGAAGCATCCCATGTTTTTCAAGCCTTATGGTAATAACTATTTCAGATGAAACTTCAAGCTTGCTTTGCATTAAATCTTTCACATCAAAGATCAGACTTTATTTCAGGTTAAAATCAAAACTGTCTAGAATCGTCTGACAAGGTTACAATAACATCAACGTGAGGTAAAATCAATGATCGTGATTAGTTTTTGTTCATCAGGGTCTTGTTACAATAATAATGCAAAATGAACCAATGATTCCCAGCATTCCAATGAATAATTTCTGTTGATCGGTTTCAGTAAAAACAATAACCTGTAAAGTTATCAAAATTGAAAAAATCGATTGCTACTCGATTAATCGCAGTCTAAATTCAAAAATCGATTAAATCGATTTGCAAATCGAAATGTCATTTTCATATTTTTTGATATTGTCATCATTTTGGTTTCAATTTATGCGCAAACTTGATGTTCATGAATGAATTTCATGGAAAAATCATTTTCAACAAAACAATTTCAAAAATTATCAAAAGATGCTCTTAATAAAGGCGCAACTTTTGAATTTTCAAAGTTGCTTACTAACTCATCGCCATCTATCGTCAAATTAAACAATTCGTGCACAAGTTTCGTAATTAGTTAATCAAAAAAGTTACCCATTAAAGTTGATTAGAGTTTTATGCCAATAATGTTGTCAAATTACCCATTATCTTTACAATGCATATTCATTATTTTGAATTTCATATTTTTCTTCTTTTTCACTCCACAGAACTGGCCATCCCTGTAAAATAATACCCTTTGGATTTCCTTATGATTTAACCGGACTGGGGCCAATCGTTGAGCCCAGTCAGTTGAGAATGATGCTTGGAAGTGAACCAAACAATGCATTCGTCTATATATCGGTAATGGATCATTTTCTGACAACTGTTCCAATTTTTCGACTATAGATTAATGACGTACTCATTTATGCCTTCTAATAGCATCAATAACGATTGCTAATCCTATTATTTCCTTCTTTTGTTTATCCAGATTATCGATTCCCAATCAATTTCCTTATTAAGAAACTAATCAGATTTACCTTTTTCTTTCATTCCTTTCTCAATGCTCTTGAAATGAATATTTCATATTATTTCATGTTCATCTTGCATCTTTTTTTTTGTCCAGATATTCGTTGGACTATATGTCATCATTTTTGCTGTCTTTTTGGGAGTCGCATTATCACGAAGTAATCTTGTCCATGCTCATTATCATGACAAAAATAACCGGAATCGTCGCAAGAAGGGGAAACAAATGATTGTCAGTTATGATGAGACCAATGAGGATATCAGAACTGATTATTCCAGAGTATCATTGAGCTTGGGCATTGTATAATAAGAAGCAGGAAAAAACGCAATCAACTCAACATTAATGTTTATCTTGTCAGTGTAAATAGCAGTTCTGATGAAAAATTATTGATCAAAAAAATTTTAACAATATGAAGGCGTAATGATGAAAATTAAATAAGCACAAATAAATATCAATGTAACTAAACTTTCCAATGTAAATATATCAAATTAATGCATCAATCCAAGTGAAATAAGATACTCGAGTTGATGTGATATACTGTTGGTTATTGAATTATAACCACTTATGGAGTAACAATAAAGTTGACACTCAATTCCCAATTGATAATTTTGTGAATAAAAACAAGTTTGAATAAATTGAAAATTTTACTCAGATCAAGTTTATTATTTATGGATGCTCATTTTGCTTCAGCTCAAAATTCCTTTGCCTTTTCTGATTTCAGACTGATTAGATGAAGCATGATAGTAGACGCTAGAAATCGTTGATGAGATTATTGGTTACATGTCAATGCAAGTGCATGACTGAAATGTCTGTCTTTTGAGTTGAGCTCTATATTAATATCTAGCACACACTGTACTGCAAAGAATCTCTGATCAATTTTATCTAGTTTTTGCTTCCAAGTTTATAAAGAATTTCATATTTTATCAGAATGTCAGTGGCGGTAGTCCATAAGATCTGCAGATCCCAAAGCTCTGGACTCTACGAGATTACGGTGAAAATGGAACTGATAGTAAGCAGCGTCATCTATTGCATAGAAAATAACTCAAATAATGTAAAATCGAATCACGCTTTAACATGGAACACTCAAAATCCGAACCGCTACAAAAACAAGCACCATTTTAACTCCCTGCCTAGATATGAAGTCCAATAAACTAAATTTAAATATGATAACATAAAAGCAGACCGCATTTATATATGATTCTTCAATTTACGGAATTCTATTGAATATCATTGATCCAAAAGTTATTAGTACTAACGACCGTCAAGGATGGAAAAGCACCCAGTGCAATTTAGGTACAAATTACAAACTACTTCGTCTATCATCCTGATTCAGATTTTGAAAATTTTATCGAACGATATAAAATCCTGTACAAATGAAAGGTTGGCAAAGTATCAATGCATTCTTTAAGGAACAAAAGCAGATCGTAGACGATTACGAAAACAAAATTATCAAGTAAATTATATAACTGCCATTTGGGAGTCATTTCTGAAAGATAAACTTTTTACCAACAAGACGAAACCCCACTGCACTGTCATGTTAGGTAAAGAAACAGAAATTTGCATTCCAATGCTAAATTTTGTAATGGAATTTTGTAAAATTACTTTTTAAAGTCATTATGAATCTGCATCTCATTCTACCATTCATCTAACTATCATTTGTACTTACGACAAAGTCTTTGTGAACATCGAGTAATGCCGGAACATGAAATTTCACATCCAACGAAGTACACAATGTGCCATCTAGTGTTATCTTATTATATTTGGCAAGATATTCAATTCTCTCACAAGTCTTGTCAAGTATCATGTCATTTTTGAAGATTAGCGTTAATGATGAAACATGAAATGCTTGGATGAAAATAGACCTTTTGTCAAATAAGTTTTTAATAATAAATATATTCATATGTCAAATAAATAAAAAATTATTGATATTTAGATATCCAATATATAACAAGCGTATAATGTACCCTCAAAAAAGTACATGCAATAAAAAACGAAATAACCTTTTGCAAATCGTAAAGATTTTTTATCTCGAATAAAATATTTTAATACAGTTCTAAACCATTAGATGGCATTGGGAGTGAACAGAATGCCCAGAATAATTCCAGGTTAAAGTCGAGAGACTCAACAGGAGTCTCCAGAGTTTGCTCAAGTCTCAGGTATTCACTGTTAATAACCGCACAATCTAAATTCAGTTTCATCTTAAAATGTGATGTGAAATTCACCATGGAAAGTGAAACTTTTTTTAAAATGAATTCAAACTTGTTCTTATATTGGACTCTACTATTAACCTGTATAATTTACTCACATGGTAAGTTGTATTTGAAATCAACTTATTAAATCCAACATTTATCCTTATTTGCAACTTTATCAGTTGATCATGCAAACACATGCAAACATTTTTGCCTTAACTTGTGAACTTGAACTAAACAAGTGATGCTCTCGAATCTCTGAAACTGTGCTTTATTGATGATGATTCAACTTGAAAAATGTTTACTAATCTTGTTTCATCAAATCTCAAACAGGTTTACGGATAACCAAATTAGAGGTTCCCCAATCTGTGCCTCTAGGAAAATCAGTTACACTTCGGTGTCATTATGATTTGGAAGGAGATGAACTTTACTCTGTAAAATGGTACAAAGATTATGTTGAATTTTATCGTTATTTACCGTCCAACGGACCCAAATCAGGGCAAAAGTTTGTCCTCAAAGGAGTTCATGTAGATGTAAGTATAAAACGAAAGTCGAGTTTCGTTGAAGAAACATTTTCCTTGCTCACCAATCCCATTCCATTAACATTTTCAATTCAATTTCCATTGGAATCAACCGTAAACTCGAGTCTATTTGCAATCTCAACTAAACCTTTCCATTGACATTTATTGTCTAATCAAAGTTATTCAATTGAAGGAAAGCGATTGATGAAACTTTTCAACTCAATTTCAATCAACTTTTTCTTTCAACTTCAAGATTGATAATATATTGAATGGATTGAAATGGAAAGTTGCTTTTTCCCTGTTTTTCCAAGAACAGAAAATGAAACGCCAAATTGTCGATAAATCATGACATTCCATGACTGATTAACTATTTTCATTCCAACCTATTTCAAGCTGTAATACCGACCATTGACTAACCAATGACCAGCTTTTGTCTCATTTCATTTACAAGCATTCATGACAAGCATTTTGCTCAACTTCTGGCCTGATATTTTTGAACTGGTAAATAAGATGAATTTCAAGTTCAAATATGAACAGGTGAAAGATGTAAAAGGAGATAAAGTCTCATGATTAAAAAAGGTTTATATGAAGGCTATTTACTGATTCATATAAGTGAAATCATTTTGTTTCTTCTCATTCGTCTTGGAAGTTTGTCTTATTAGAACTTTTTTCTTCTTTTTTCTTTCCTTCTTTCAGAAATGGAAAGAAGAAAATTGCTCGAAAATTGAACTGATAACAGGAAAAATGTTGTTGTTTTCATTTCTTGCCTCTCACTGGTGAAACAACCTTTTGTTTGTTGGTCAAAAAAAGAAAAACTTGGACCAAAAAAATTGAATTATTTGACCAAGAATTGAATTGATACAAAAAACAACAACAAATACATTGGATTATTCACATTGATATTGATAAGGGAAAGTTATTATCTTCAATGAATGCTGGTTTCATGATGAGACAGTATTGAAAGAAAGTTTATTTCCAGTTCATTTTTGCCTTTCAATTCAAATTGGTTCAAATAGGAAACACTTAGGCCAACTGTCAACCTCGAATTTTGAATTTTATTCTATCTGAAACATTCGATTTACAAAATATTTTAATTGCACAAATAGACTCTATTTTAATGTCCCTACAAGCCAGCAAGTCTCAATTTTTTTCTCAAAAGTCAAAGTCTTTGCATATTTTTCTTCAAATAAAACGAAACTTCGAAAAAGAGTGATTAAAAATATTGAAATATTCTTGCGATATATTAATAATAAATGATTGATTCGATTAATTTTTTTAGATTTTTATTTCTACAGTTCTTAGCAAGTAAAAGATATTCTAAAAGTTTCTTCAGCCATTCTGTAGAGAAAATGTTTAAGTTTTGGATAAAGTTGAAGTTAAAGTTTTCGATTTGCCTACATATCTCAACAATTTCACGATAGCCACTCAAAGTAAAAAAAGAGGAGATATTAAATAGGTTTACGAACGAAAATTTAAGAATCAAAATTTTGAGTCAATATCCAGTAGTCACTTTTCCAATATTAAAATTCAACAACATTGAACGCAGATTGCAAATGAACGAAAACTTTTGCAATCTTTTGTGATACATCATTAGATAGAACATTATTTTGACTTTAAGATTAATGGAAATGGTTGAGAAAAAATTTCATGCATTGGAGTGCGACATTTTTTGACTTGGAGCGGCTATCCTTAAATTGCCTTGATATTCAGGTGAATCGAAGTAACGCCAGACAAAACTTAAACATTTCTCTATAAAGTGTCCAAAGAGACTTTGCGAATATCTTTCCCATCGAGGAGTAATAAACCTCCCGATAGTTTCACTATTGACTTTGACACTTTGTATTTGTATGTTACAATGTTCAAGAGAGTAAGACAATTGCAATATAATTGGACGACATTAAAATGAATCTTGAAATTTGAAACATTACACATGATTATTACCAATTAGAAGAAAAATTGTATAAAAGTTTTACTTTCTTATTCCTTTCTATTTCAAAAGCAAATCAATTCCCTGAACTGATAAATTGATCAATGATTAAAAAGGTACAAAAGGTGTTTACCATCATCAATTTAACTTTGGTCCAAAGCAAAGTAAGAAAAATAAACCAAAGAGAAGCAGAAAAAAAGCTAAAACAAAAACTCGAAAAGAGTATAGATAAAGTATTGCAAGTATTCAAGAAAATGTTGGAAATTCAACTGATCATTGATAACTGTCACAAGGAAAGAAACAAGAAGAAGAAGATATTAATGGCTAGACCGTGAAAATTTATCATAGAGTAACATGGAATGATAAAACTCGATATTCCCTGATTGAGCTAATTTAAACAATATTGAAGAATCGCCAAAGAAAAGAAAAGTCAATCAATATCATGAATTACTCTATCTGTTCAGCATTCTCTGATTATCTCTTAATGAGTCAAGAAGCTAAAAATGAAGTTTCCGTCTTTTCCCATTCTGTCCTGACTTTATTAAAGTCCCGGGCGTTGCCTTAATTTAACCCACCAAATCTCTATTAAAATGGTAAACTCACAATCACATATTGATCTTGCTTTCAAGTTGATCAACATTTGGTTAATAATAACAATAATGATAATGATAATAACTTGAGAAGTTAATAGTGTCTCCTTGTGATAGGATTTGGACATTAGATTGACTCGAACATCTTTACAAGTTATAAATGTATTCTGATTTCACCTTTAAACCAAATGATAAATGTTATCCTTCAATGAATAATGTTGAAGGGATTTATCTTTTTTTCCGTATTTCCCTTATCATTATAACAACATCAATTGCCTTAGTAAACCTTGAGCAGATTACAAGAGCAAGAGGGAAGATGAGCAAGAAGATGATGAAGAAGAAGATGAGAAACACTCACAGAAACCTTCAACTAACCACTAAGACTTTTCATTTAATAACAAAGACTCCAATTATCATTAATATTATCGGCTATCATTAATAGCTTCAAGTGAATCCTTTTTTTCAGGTAAAACAGTACAACATTGTTTCCCTGTTAACCATGATTGGTATTAAGCTAATGTAAGGAAATTCACTCCCAGTAAAGGAGAACAGGGTAAACATTTGTTCCATTGAACCCTTTTCTCGGCCACTCAAGATTAATTAACAGACAAATTACAATTGAGATTAAATTGAAGATGCAACTTGTAGAGAGGAAAAAATGTGAAGAGTAAAAATGAAGAACCTGGAATTCATTCCTTAATTGATAGAATCGTGAAAATTATCAACGAAATTATTATTCATTGGTTAATCAACCATTTCGAATAAAAAGTTTTTTTCCATTTTTTCTTCAATTCTTTACATGGGAAAATATGTTTTTCTTGTCGATCCATTTTCTGGTTTCTTAAGTGAATTCAAATTGCAATGAAAGCGTTTAAATATTGACGTGATTTGGATTTAAAGTTGCATCAAATGATAAAGTCAATGAGATTGAGTTTCAAATCTGAAAACTTGAAAATGAAACTTGAAACCAACTCAATCTCAGTTGTTGAGTTTTTTCCCTGTTTCGCCAACTTTTTCATTCCTTTCACTTTCATTTATAGATCTTAATCATCATCTTTCGATAAATATTATAATCTTCATTTCTTGTTCAATTCATTTGTTATTCCAAAATCGGCATTTTTAATCTCAAGAGATTCCAGTAATGCTATCATTTAACCCTTTCCATCTGATTATCTTTTGTTTTTTATTCAGCATTACTCAGCACCTAGTAATGATTAACTGATGAAAGACTTCAATCTAGATTCAAACGAATTTCGCAAAAAGAGAAAAAAAATTCTGCCTTTTCTTTCACAAAAAAAATCTATTTGTTGTACTGCCTGAAGCATTCATAGTTGACAATTCACTTGTTACATGAAAATTGTGTGCAAGATGAAGCAACAAAATGAGAAGTAAACATGTTATTAGGAAAAGAAAACAATTTAGCTCAGAATGAACTTAATAGTTGAACAGAACAGACAAGATCAAGATAACAATCTTTATCATGTTCACCTAAACTAGGAACTTGTCGAGTTCATTAGAGAAAATGATATTCAATTAAAACAGAAACAATGATTCGAAGCAATTGAACAAAACTTTTTCTCCTTGAATAAAGTTCCGATTTTGATTTACTATGAATAATGATGGAAGGTTAAATGTAAGGGACTCGTTCAAAGGTTGCATGGATAAGAGTGGAAAAGCAATGAACTGTCAGAAAAAAATGTTCATGTTGGGAATGATCAAGTTAATGATGGTTTTCATGTTGAACAAATATGTTGGTAAAATCGAAGAGTTGAAAACAATAAAATACAAAACTCTGAAAAAAGGAAAACATTTTGAATTGAAAATTCCAAGTTACCAGCAGTAAATAGTGGCTGAACCTGAAATTGAATAGTGTGAAATTGTGATAAAAATATGTTCGATAATGAGTTGGAGTGAGGATAACAGGGAATGATAACTGGGAGGTTATCATGGTTGCATTTGATTGAATTACCAATCTTAATTTGGCTCTTTACTTCAATAAAAAATGACTGATATGAATTTTAATGAGCAAATAAATTTTTCTCTTTTGACCTGAGAAATGCGATTCTTTTTCCTCGGGAATCATTCCTGAGTTTTCAAGTTTATTTTGGGGTTTAGCTTTTTCTCAGTGTTGAAAGTTAAATGAACCTGCAATGAGTTTTGTATTGAATCATGTAATTATGATTTCAAGAATTCATTTATTTGTTCAGTAAAATTTCATGTTTTCCTTCATTTCCATGAAAACCTTTTTTTCACTCATTCTTATTATAATGTGTTGTATTATTTAATAAGCTGTTTCAACAAAAGTAAAAAAAAATATCATTTTGCGATTCAAATTTAACTCGATAATAGCAATTTCATGTTCCAACTAATAATGAAAGTTTTTGTTTTGTTTTTGGCTTCTCTTAATTACGCATTTGAAAGTGAGAGAAAAAGAAAGAGTAAAAAGAGCAAAGATCGATTGACCATTTGGTCAATTTAATTGGCCATTTAATTTAAATAATATTGTTATTTAATCAAAAGAAAATAGATTTATCTATTCCGTGAGGGTTTAAATCGTCTTGTTGACTTACATGGAATAGTAAATGAAATGAGATCAGAAAAGTTTTTAATGGTCCAAATTAAAACTGAGCAAAACTTATTTTCCAACTCATGGAATGCCAAGCTCCAACGTTCAAACTCTGCTCATGTCGACAAAAATTGTTTTACTTTTGCTTTCATATGTTCTAGCATTTGCTAAGGTTTTAACGTCACAAATCTTTCGACTCCTTGACACCTCATGAATCAAAGTCAAACTGATTCAACTTTCAGATTTTCATTCTCTTTCAAATCCAAGTTCTCAAAACTCCGAAACTCCAAGAACTAAAACTATAAGACTAAACTCCATTACATTAGAAATGTTGTTAAAACTTGAAGTTACCTCAGGTTGTTAGTCTGGTTTGGTGCATAGACAGTAGCATTCATGGCTTCGGCTCACAGTTACTTAGAGGGTCTACTTCAGAACTACATTGATCTTGCTAACTCAGTGAATGATCGATTTTCTCATTCAATCAAATCTGTGAGCCAATGAGCTGAGGTGTGTGTAGTTACAAATCAACTCATGAGTAATTAAGTTCAGAATTGTTTTGACTTTACTACTGATAAACTCTAGTCCATTGTTGCGCCTCATATTTTTTCCTTTCGAATCAGTAACTTCTTCATTTTCTTTATTATTTAGATCTAAAATAGCATAAGTATCTGATAATTCAGAATTTACAAAATTTATTCCTACTTTGAAAATCCTGATGATGAAACCTTCTCAACCTTCGTACCTTCTCCAAACTTGAAAAGAACAGTTCTACGGAAAAATCTAATTAGCACTCCTTAATTATTCCCTTTGTCGAATCGATTTTCGCATCTTTTCTTTGAAATATTAATCTGTTCTTGTTATCTGTTTCTTTCGATAGTTATCCCGATCTTCAGCTAAACATGCATTTTTAGTGAAAACTGAATTGACTTCAGAGGGTCACTATGCATGTGAAGTATCAACAGAGGGTCCATCATTCAGCACTGTCAGAGCTGAAAGACAGATGAAAGTTTACGGTAAGTTAAATTGAATGTTTCATTTTGTACTCTCTTCCAGCTAAGCTGGTTCTGCAATGAAACCAATTGTTATTAGATGATGCTTTTTTACAACTCAAGCTAAACATTTTGCTAGGAGAAAGCATTGAAAGTCAAGTTAACAGGTAATCTAACTAGTAAAGATGAAAGAAAAGGGAAAAATAATGATAATTTATTTTTGTTTGAAATGTATCGAGTATTTGAAATAAAATTGAATCAATTGTCAAGTAAAATGCTGAACTTTTAAGTTTATCTATATCAGAGTAATGGGAATGGAAGAAAGAGAAAGGGAGAAGAAAATAATAGATAAAAAGTAAAAGATTTTATCAGCAAAATGGAATGAGAAAAGTAAAATGAATGGACTTCGAGATCAATTTTAATAGAGCAAGTACATGTAAGATGGTCAAGGAGTGAGTGAACAAGAAGAAAAGATAAAAACTTGTATTGATTTACTCTTCATTTGAAGCAATATTTCAAGTTTATATTGATAGTATTAGATGGAGTTTTGAGAAGGGCAATACGAATCAGATAATGTTGCAAAAGAGAAATAATAAGAGTTATTGAAAAGATGTTGGATAGTTTTGGTTTCTTTTTTGGTCTACGATTAATTATGTTCAAATGTCCAGCCCAATTCAAGTCTATTCAATCTGTGCAATTGCATTGAGAGAGAGAGAGAGAGACTCGAAAAAAAGTCGAAAGTTTCAGTCAAAATGCATTCTTGGAAATTGATGAAATTTCAATGCAAACATTTCATTCATAGAGTTAATTAGTTACCCATGAGCCATGATATTGATACTTTTCATTTATCATGTTCATAATAGAATCCTTCAAGTTTTCAGTCTTCCAATTTCAAACCAATAACCGCATTCCCAGTGCCTAAAGTCGGTATAATTGCATTGCCATAATAGATTTGAGTATCAGAGATCTAACAAATCAAATAGTCAAAGCATTACTATCAACTCGAGCGGTTCACACAGCTATCAAAAATCCAATGCAATATCAAAACTCAGTTCACATCGGTAGTAATTCAAGTGAAAGCTCTAGCTAAATAAAACATTAATTATTACGGACGAAGTTGTCATGAAGCTGGTAGCAATAAGAATATCAAGATTAGAAAGTTTTCCGTGTCTTTAACAATTGCAACAGCATTATTCCACAGAAAAGTTCGAGTAGAAAGTTTTATAATATTACACCTTTTAACAATAAAACCTTGCACCGAGTAGGGAATTTTACACTCGTCCTTTGAGCCATCAATAGTCACAACATCAACCTGTCACAACGAGCCTTTAGCACAAAATATCAGTCGTCCTTCAGCCTATTTTCAACATAACCACATCGAGTCAACTTGTTGGTTATTGAATGTTAAATGGTTACACTTGAAGTCTCTTAGTCTATCCAACTTCAACCTAAAACTTCACCCTTCCAAGTCAAAATTGACAGGCTTGGGACCCAGAGAGATATTATTGAACTAAACGATTCTCGGCAAAGTTAAATTAGCTTGCATTTGCTAGTCACAACTAATGAATATTTGTTTGAAACTTGATATCAATGTTAACTAGTGATGTATTAAATTGCTCGTGAATATAATTGCATCATTCAATTGCTCGTTAATAGACTTTTCATAATTTCGTAAATGATCATTGTGTAATGTGTATCCTTGCAGTCAATGTAGCTATTAAAATGAGTTACTAACCTTCACGTTTCTTGTTACTTCTTGATTAAAATGTATTCATTTGTATGTTACATATGAACAATAATGTTGGTGATGAAAAATCAAGTGTCAACATTTGTGAATGAATGAAAAAGAAACAAGAAAATATAAATATCTTTTCCATTTGTACATCTAAAAATAATAACACGCCATTATCATATTGGTTTTGTACTTTTTTTCACTCGACATTTACAAAACAACTTTAATCGTTTATTGATTATTTTCATCATTTGTTGTTCTGAACTCTTTATCGTTTCATTTCATACAAAAACTTACAATGAACACACACCAAATATAATAATAACAATTCAATAACTGACAAAAAGTGTATTTGAAAACAAGAATAAAAATGACGTTTGATGATACAGAAAAAATAAGTGCATAACTTTTACTCCAACCATTTTATACTTGCATACTTACAAGAGCGAGATTATTTGTTTCACCAATCGATTGTTAAGTTGATTCATGCAATGAAAAATATACTGAAACAAGAAACACGAGAAAAGAAAAAGTTATTTTTGAATAAAGACAAATGTTATAATTAGCATACAATTCTCATTGTCATACAATGCCATTTAGTAATGGTAGGTGTTGAAAGGTTTATGCAAAAAACAATCGTAACTTGAGCAGCTAATTATGATTTGTTTCTTTATTTTCATCATTAAAATGCTTCAAATTTAAAGTATTACCGAAAGAAGGATTATCCATTGAAGGAAGCGAACCTGTTTATGGAATGGAGAATCACATTAATCTAACTTGTATTGCTAACCCTTCCTATCCGCCCCAGAGCTTAACTTGGCACATCAATGAACAAAAGGTTTGTTGCAAGTTGCGTTCCCAAACAAACAAATCAAAGTTGGAAAAGATTTAGTTTGAAATATCGAGCAATTTTATGTTTAATGATCAAATTGTCATACATTCATACATTAGAAATTCAAGACATTACGATCATGAACCTGGATTAGAATCATGAATAGACTTTGAATAAGGTGCTTTTGTAAGAAATGTAATAATGAATTATGCCGTCTGTGATTATTAACTAATACTGAAGACTTGTAAGTTAATAAAAAGCGCGATGTTGCTAGAGATTTGCAGGACTTTGCAGGGCAATTTCAAGCAAACTTGTTGTGCTTGCTTAACGTGAAAACTCATCAATACTTAGCAAAACACATTCGTAGCATTGAACTGAAGAAAGTCTTTTTCATTGACTAGTCAATGTTTGTACCTCAAATCTCGATGGGATAATTTTGTACTTTGATTTTGTGTTGAGTTTTACAACAAACGGTTTGCTACAATTGATAGTTTTGCGAAGATTGGATATAACTTTGCACAACAAAATAGCTTCTAATCCTCTTTCTGATAGAAATGTCTGAATTTCATTTAAAAGCTTTAGAGATTAATCATTTTACGACTTGAAATATTGTTAAGTGCTCTATTTTTGGCATTAATCTCGCTTTCTTTATTCTATGTTCAGGCCTTACCACACCAATTGATACAATATGAACCTGAAACTGATTCACAAGAATTAAATGCAACTCGACTTGGCCTTTTTTTCAAAGCAACGGGCAACTATTTTCTTCGTGGTGCACTCAAGTTGCGCTGCACATCAACGATAACTCTAGTCTATCGATATGAATCTTCGATAACATTAAGCGGAGGAACTCCTAAGAATCGAACATTCAATGGACATTACACTTGGAATGAAGGTAAAACCGAAAGAAACAAACATCTGCAAAGAGCATCAAATAATGATTTCAACCAACTTTTTCCTTCTTCTCACAGACCGTTTATATCAACGTGAACCTGAAAGTCCAATCATTGAAGGTGGCAAAACAAAGTACAAAGTAGGTTCAATCATGGATCTTAACTGCACAACTACATCAGAATCGCATCTTAAATGGTTCATTAAAAATAAATCGGTAAGTAAATACAGACTAAATCGAAAATTTGTTGCAGAAGAAATTTAAACGATAAAAAATGCAAATAGTCTTCGACTTTGTTGTTCAAAAATTAACATTAGTTTATTGATTCATCATTGAATTTATCATTATCATTTGAAGCAACATCGTCAACATGATCGTCTTGAAGAACCAAGAAAATTGTTTAAAAGAATCAATATTGAAATATTGAAACAGAATTTTGTGAAAGGACAAAAAGTCAAGCAAAATTTTCCATTCAACTAACAAGTAAATTGGTGTTTGAATCAATTAATTAGTCAATTGTTTGCTTCAAGTGCAAAGTGTTTTAACGGTTCAACATTCTTGAAATGATTAATATCACACTTGAGAAGAAGTTGTTTCATGGTGAAGATAATTTAAAGAATTGCAAAATTCCATGCTCATTCACAATTTACTTGCTATTCTCATCTTAATTAATCTTAACGTGAAGGGAAGTGCACTTGAATAATGGACATTATATCAATAAATGTGTAAATGAAGCACAAAAAACGAGTCAAAAGTTGACAAAAGAATGATCAAGTTGAGGAAAAAAGAGTTGAAAAGAGACGCAAAAAAGGCATTTGAATAGCAAGTGTAAATATAATTAATCATTAAATGCTAATGACGAGTGGTAAATCAAATTATTCATTAACTTGTCTCTTTTAATCTTTATCAATTAAACTCGACTGAGCAAACAAATTATCCTTCATTTTTCAGACACAACAGTTAACATCAAGCATAACCATTAATGTAATATTTCATTTCATCAGCAATTGAATTTTTCAATTGCAACCTTTACCTTGCCATTATCATGTAATCAATTTTCAACATTCAAAATGGAAATAAGGAAAGGAACAAGAAAACGATTCTGTTGAAGATGAAAGAGGGACCAAAATAACATGATAAGAATTATGTTCGTGTCTGTGGAAGGAGAAATCCTTCGAGATTTGAAGATGAAGGGAAATCAATGTTTGCTTTTTTCGCTCTTTTTGCATGGGCCGAGTTTCGTTTACTTTTTTTGCTCTCCTTTTCTCAATTTCTTTCAAATTTCCGAAACTTTTTGCGTTAAAAGCACAGTTGAAGTTGTTTATTACAAAGCATTTCAGTTAAAATGCTTCAACTTGCTATTTTCATTCATTTACAATAAGGATCGATCTCTTCTTTGCATGAATTGCAAATGTATTGATTTGTTGCTTTGACATCTTCTGGTTACAGGATATTGAGATTTCAATTTTACTCTTGATTTTACATACGAAACGCTTTCATTCTCGTTTAGATCAAAAGGATTGTAGCAACGATACAGCACACAAAGCCTAATGTGAATGCTGTGAATCCAACTTCGATGTGTCGAATGCGTAATCTGTAAATTATATGATCTAGGAAAGATAGCTCTTATTAATTGAATGTCCCTAGCTGAAGCTTTACTTCGTTTTAAATGCTACCTTCGATTTTTTTGCGAAAGCAAATAGAAATGTGCTGCAAGATGCAAACAAAAAGCATTCGGATTTCCTAAAAAATAACGCATCGCATGTTTGGATCGCATTTGAAACCCTTTTTCTATTTCCACAATGATAATGTGAGAATTGAGATCATAAGCAAAGCGATATTGAGTTGCAAACTACGTTATGTGCATAAGTTGTAACGAAAACAATGGTTTTATTAGCATCAGAAATGCTCTCACGCAACATCAACCGAAGGAACAGTTTTCGCTGGTAATTATTGATTCACACCGATTGATCTAAGCTAATTGAAAGTTTCTAATATACATGTATCTGGACATCATCTCATTAACTCTTGTCTGTGATATTCAGCAACATAATTTTATTGAAGAAAGTTTGAGTTTGATTAACAGAATCAATTGTAAAGATTTATTGTCCAAAATCATTTTCATGTATTAATAAGACACTAAACAGTTGAACTAAGGATATTGAAAGTTAACTTAAAATGAAAACCACGAATAAAATGTTCTAAACATAACTTTACAAGTCAAAGTAAAGGGTGTTGCAAGTTTAATGTCACAAATGGAGAGGCAATCATTTGCGATTTCAATGCATTAAAATAGACAAACCGATTCCAATCAAAACAATCATACAACTTGTCATTTCGATAACTTTTCGTGCTTCAATCATAAGTATCAATCAAAGTTTAGCTATTCCAGGATCAAGTGAAAGAAAGATGTTCTTTTCATGCATTTTATATTCCATCAAAACATTGTTTTAAAGAATTAACTTTTAATTGCAAAAACTCTTCAGACAAAAATTGTTATTCAAATACAATGTAATTGTAATACAATACAAATGTATTATAATTAAAGTTTATTTGCAATTTTGGGTTAGCCTAAGCTTAATCATAAACAACCAGTCAACTTATGAACTTAGAAATGGCAAACAGCAAAATTGAAATAAACTGATGTCGCTGCAAAAACTCCAACAGAAGTACTCGTTGCAAGAAATAAATTGAATAAACTTTGGATTCTTTGCAAGTGCGTCCATTTGTAGCATTGAATTTCGTCAATAGTCGTTTAAAATTGTTGGAACATGAAAGTAATGAAAACGGTTACCATTATTTACTTGTAACTGGTTCATTGAAACTCAATCCTGTACTTTTGCACAACTTTTTTACTCTCTTCTCGTTAAACTTTTTCATTCCCAGCAAAAGTTCAACCCTTTTTTCACTCCCTTTCAACTCAATATTTCATGGCAACAAGATACACCAACAATCCCGCATCATTTTATCCCTCATGAGATTTGTTAGTCTACTTTAACAATTCCCTTTGCTTTTCCTTTTCCATTTCATTTTTGATAATTATTACCTTCTACTCTTCAATCGAGTATCACTTTTAAGACTCGACTAAGCCCCTTTCAACAGTCCATCAGAACAACATTTCAAATTATCAATTATTCATCATTAAATAATACATTCAACAGAATATCATTAGCATACCAGAATAACAATAATACCAGACTAATGATTAAACCTTTTTACTCTATTTTCGAGTTCATTTTTCTTCAATTTATTTCATTTCAAAAGCTTATCAACATATAATCACTTGTAATCATCATCAAGTTTCCAGTAAATATGAAAACACAAAACTGAAAAGTCGAAAAAATGAATTTCTATTCATTACACTTTTCATGAGTCAACAATTGGTCAGTTTCGGCAGAAAAAGAAAATTCTGATAAAAATGGAAAATCTTTTCAAATGAACATTGACTTAACATTTACCTCTAAACTCATCAAGTAAATCACCTTTTCCATCATTAATATTCAAACGATAATTTATAGAACTGTAAAAAGGTGAGAAAATGAGTTGAAAAGAAAAGGATTGGAATAATGAATGGAATGAAGAGAAAAGAAAAATTCTGTTCAAAAAAAGAGTTCAATTGTAAATGTTGAATAGACGATACAATATTATCAGAACTTATCATTTAAAGAACAAGACAAATCCCAATGGAACTGAGTAAAGGTAAATATTGATAAGATAATGAGTTAAACTTGATAATAGGAAAAAATGATAATATTGAGGCTGGGAGTGAATGGGAATTGCTGGGAATGAGGAATGAAAAATGTGTATTATATGATAATCAAACGGAAGCAATTTGAGTGCAAAACCAAATAATCGGTTGACAAAACCTTTAATAATCATTTCAACTGAATCCAAGTCTTCCATTATCTTCATCATCATCATTCTTCTTTTACGTTTTACTTTGCACCAAACCTGTAATTTAAAGGTTAAACAAGTGAAGGCTAAATAAGTAAAACGAAGTATGCAAAAAAAGGTCAACATTGATAATTGAGCTTCCATTTTCTGTTATTAATATATTATAATATGTAATTTTGCTTTTTTTATTGTTACTCAAAGGAGTTTGACTTTTCTGTTCGTCGACTTTATATCAATTTCATTTAGCTTGTTTGCTTTTTAATGATGGTAATGATGATTGTGATAATCAATTGAAATCGATAGCAACTGTTAACTTGTAGTTGCTGGTTAGTGTTTACTCAGCTCTTCAAACTATTCAATTGTTATCTTTTGCGACTGGAAACATAATTGATTTCAGATTAGGTTCGATTGATTGGACTAGTCAAATGCTGAGGAAAATAGATGAACGTCTCGATTAGTTGAGCCAATTTTAGATGACATTTTTCAAGTAATTGGACTCATTCATCAATTGCTGTTGAGTTTATACAAAAGTCGTTTGTAATGTAAATGTTGTGATGGATAAGATTGCGTATTGAGTGATAATAGTTTATTGGATTGAGTTGATCGAGTAAACGATTTTTATTAGAGAAACGCGATTGAAAGTGATTCAGTTTATAGTTTGCATTTAATTTTATTGAATATTTTCAAGAATTATGATTTCTTATTGACAAAATGCATTTCTACAAGTTCAATGAAAAATTCAATTTTATTTGGTAAATAGTTTTGAGGTAAACTTGACACTAGCCCGTGACTTGGTGCGATTCACTCTTGACAAGTTTGTATGGGATAATCTTTATCCATTTGTTTCGATAGATTTTAGTTTCAATTTCAATCTTTTTGTAGTCCATACTTTCCAAACTCCGACCCTGAGTAAATAATTTGTTCCGCTTACTGTAGATATCTTTGCTAATTTACAAGTTAAAATGCAATATTTTTCTTGTTCTCTTGTCATTTGGTTTATCATATTAGCTCGAAACGTGTTTTTCTTGGCTAATCGATCTACGAGCATGAAATTGAGGAGTTTCCAAGTGTTTGCGAGTACCAGGTTCATTCAATACCTTTTATCAATAAGATGAAAATGTTTTCAAGTTAAACGACCAATCACTGTGTCATCAACAATATTTTCATTTTGTGACGCAAAACTTACAACTAACTTGCAGTATCATTCACACTTCGAAATCTGTTTACATAAAATTTCAAGCAAAAATATGGTCTTTGCGTTTTCCTTTTTTTAGACCACTTATAAAAAATAATATCAACTTCTTTCTAGAGAAATGATATAAATTATATTCTTGATCTGATTTAGTATTACATCTATTTGTCTTGTTAGTCCGTTAGCATAAGAGCTCCCAAGTTTCACTAAGTAACCTCAATGCCAATACTCAATCCCAGTCAATAGCCTTCATTGTGCAACATTGAATTGGTAAATGAACGATAATTAAATTTTTCTTGATTATTAAAGACAAAAATCCAATTTTTATTGAACCTTTCAGAGTTATCTATCAATTCAATCTGAGGAAATGATAGTTGCTGCAAGTGAACAACTTAGAATAACTTGGAATTTTAAAGTTTATTTTTTCAACATTTTCAGCTTTGAATTGTAAAAAATCACTTTAACAAGCAAAGAAAAAAAAACATTTCCTCAAAAATAAACCCGTTACTTGTTATCTAGCATGATGAATGGAAAAGAAAAACAATTATTAATGAACAAAAGAAAGCATAATATCATTAATTTTTGCTAATATTAATAAAATCATTACAGATTCAAGGTAATCATAATTAGGTAAAGTTAATTAGCAGAATCACATTCAATTGGATCAAATAGATGAAAAGGTTGGAGTGAAATGGAAAGAGAAAAGCCTCTTTTTTTCGTGTTACCTTTTTTTCTTCTCCTCATCTTGATGAAATGTATAATTGACTGTGTATAATGATGATGCATGATGCATGGTTTCAGACAAACTGAAACTTTATGTTACTCTTCAACAAACAGGGTGTGTGATGTACAGCAAGAAAAAATAGACTCCATCAATACAATGAATTTGATTGTTTCCAATTGAAAAAAATGAAACTTTCTTCTTCTACAGAAAGAAAAGTTTTATTGAAAAAATTGTTCAATATTGAAATTGAAAGAGTTATGAAAAGTTAATGTTAAACGATTCAAGCTGATTACATGGCAATGAAAGTAGTTCAAGTGTTCAATCGTTAAGTTAATCATTTTGAGTCACTTACATGTGTTGTTCATTTTCAATCAAATTATCATTATTAATATAATCATCATGTAATGGCTTTAAAAAGGAGAATCACAATAAGATAATGAGAAGTTAAACATTTCATGGAGAATTATTGAACTGATTAAATTGTAATCCAAATTGAATTAACTTGATTTCAGTCATTTCTTCTTCCTTTTCCAGTTTTAATTCATCTTTTGGTGATGAAAATGGAAAATGTTGAACCACAAAAAAGTTCTGAAATGTTCTGAAATAAGATGAAAAAGAGAATCAAATTTGTCAACTTGATTAAGCATTAAATAGGATAAAGATCAGTGATGAGTTTCGTTGCCAGTCAAGTATTTAAAGTATCATTTTTGTTCTGTTTTTTGGTGTTGTCATGAAATTCAAATGAGATTCTGTGAGAGATTTCCAAGCATTTTTTGTGTTACTTTTCTCATTGTTCAACTTGTCATATTCAATGGCTGTTCAACTCTTGCCAGTCATCTTGTTCATCTCATTTGCTCTTATTATCATCTTTTCAGATTCACATTATTTTTTCATTTTCATCTTTTCAATGTTATTACCTTTTCAACTCTTCAACTGTTTGGTGACAAAGCAAACATGTTGAAGTCATCAGTAAAAGAGGGCGAAAAAATGAGTTTCACTTGTATCCACAGAATAAGATTAATCATGAGGTGAGAAAAGAAACAAGATTGAATATATTTTGATATTGCATTTGCTGTTTGGTAAACATTCAATTGTATTCCAAGACTCAGATTATCATTAACATGACAAGAGTAATATTCAATGCCTATCGACTTACCTTATTTGTTTATCTGTTTGTGTGTGTGTTTCGCATTCCTTGTATTCTCGTCTAAAGGCTATTTCAATATTTCATGATAAACTTCAAAAGTATCATGAAATTTTTTCTCTCATCATCATCATGATAATGGTGATGAACAACGCCCAAACTTTTTCTTTCCCTGACTTTACTTTACACCAGGGAATGAAAGGTTAGGAGGAGGATAAGATGAAATATCAGTTGAGTTGAAAAATGGAAAAATTGTTGAAATTTCATTTCAATGAGAAAAAGTTGTTTTTGATATTTTTTGCACTTGACGCTATTGCTAATGATATTAATGTCAAGGCGATGAATTATCCAAGGAGGTTTTGGATGATGATCATCGTGAGGTGAGATGATGAGATTGAGTAGATTGGGATGATGAGCAAAAGGAAAAACAAAATCTGAGTAAAGTGGATGGTGACATGAATTACGGGTGTGGTGATCATGATTGAATTGTAAACATTATCATTGATTCTTATCTTGAAATTTATTTCATTTTTCGTCTTTTAATTTCATAAACATTTCCATTCTCAATGTATGACAATGCAAATTGCAAATCCCATAATAGATAGTGCATCAACTCAAAATCGACCTTTCTCGAATTCAAAATTAACTTAATTTTATGAATGAGTATGTTGCAAACTAAGTTAGGTCTTTCAAAACTCGAGTAGCAAGTCAGCAGTCAATCAACGGACTAATTGATCTCCGCCTGAGTAAGATTTTAACGACATACTCGTCATTTTTTCGATTCGATTCGATTTAAGGCCATAACTTTATAATTTTGGAAAGTAAATAATTCATTTATACTAAATTTAGGACTACTTTGATAGTTTGGGAAAGAATTTGAAAAATGATAAAAATATGATTAAATAAAATTGGAACAAAAAGAGCATTTAAAAGGTTACCTGATATTTGCTTGCCTCATTTCTTACCTCCTGAATAATAGTGGATGTAACATGAAATATTGCGTTTCCTATTGTATCATATTTACAATTGTAAACAGCCAATAAATGTTGATCGCGATTATTCAATTTTACCTTTTTCTTTGCATTCTTCCATTGAATGCAAGGTGAACCAAAATGTTTGGTGCAAAAAAGTTGAAAAATATTTGACCATTTAACAATTATTTAGTTTTCTTCTTTGAAACTTTATGCAAAACTGCAAATAATGATGGATTCAATGTTTGTATGCTGTCCTGTAAGCCTTATTTGTATATTAATTTATAAACTGTGATTCAAGTTTATTGTTATTTTACGTTTCAAGTTTCATACAGATTAAACGAACAATGAATGCAAAAGAAGAAAACTTTCCATCTTTGATCTTACATTGATACAAGACAACAGTGAGACTTACATGGAAATGATGTGAAAATGAAAAGACATGCAATGGGATAAATAAAGTTGATTGTTGGTTTGTATCTTACCTGATTCAAGGAACCACAAAAAGAGTTTTCGTTTTTGTTTTTTCTTCACTTTTGGTGAAAAGTTTCAAGATGATAAAGTAGATGAAAAGGAGAAGAAGAAAACTTTCAATTTCATTTTTCTTTTCACTCAAAGGATAACATTCTATCTCATTCTGATGAGTTTTCAGCTGAAAAGGTTGCTAAAAGAGAATCCAAATGAAATTAAAATTGTTGATTGAAATGTTTATCATCCAATGTTTTTCATTACCTTTTATTGGATTTTGTTGTTTCTTAGATGCCATTGTTAACCAACAAAAATCTTCATTTCCGATTTTTAAATGTATACAAAAGCAAAGCCAAATTCCAGGTAAAAGCTAAAAAAAGTAAATTAAATTAATGGACCATTTGTGTTGGCCGTTGACAAGCTTTGAACATATTACTGCTAATGCATTACATTTAAAATGACATCAAAAAGTTGAACATTACAAGTTTCGAAATGTTATTGGTTGAAAAATTTCCGTTTCCTTTCGTTTCTCTTATTGGTGCATTACATTGATTCATTTTTGTATTCAGCTTTTTTATCGTTTCTTCATTTCTTCTGCTTTCGAGTTGAACATTGCAAATCAATTTAATGTTTGTTTTTGAACTCTTTTATCATTCAATTTTCACAGGCAAATGAGAGTCAACTCGTCCGTTATACTGATCGAAGTGGAAAATTGGTTAAACTTGGACTTCGATTTGAGATGGAAAAGCGTCATTTTCAAATGCAAGAATTGAGATTGAAATGCATTGCTCAGTACAACATTCCAATAGCCAACTTTTCGAAGTCACTAACCATTAGAACATATGAACGTGATGATGGACTTATAATACAACCAAGCATCGACATTATCAATCATTCAATATCAACATTTAGAAAAGGTTGGCTCACAATAAAAGTTATTGCAACTTTGATTCAATCTATTCAGTTATCGAGTTCATTTTTAGTTCAGCTTGTGCCATCTACTGAATGAAGAAGAAAGAAACTTGCAAAACTAACTTTTTTCTTTTACTCTTTTACAGATTCTAGCAGTTGGTTAACCATAATTGCGGTGCATTTGTTAATTTGGTTATCAAGCTTTGGGGAGATTCATTATAAATCGTGAACCAGTCAAGACTTACAAGCTACATTTGGCTTGGAATCATCACTGAAATTTCATTGGATTTTTTTGCTTTTGGCTTGTTTCAAAAGTAATTGTCAAATGTTGAGATATTTTTCAATCGACAGCGAAAGAATCCTAAAAATAACATTGTTCAGATTAGACTTGAAAAAGGGAAAAGTATGAAGAAAAAGCATTTTAAAGATATTTCCAATATTGAAACGAATTCCAAATATAATGCAAAAACAAATATTTTTGTAACAATCGACAACTTCTCTGGATTAATTAAACATCATGTACTCATTTAGAATTGAATTTGTCCAAATCATTAAATTTAATTTCATTTTCATCATACACAAATTCATTACAATTACTTCTCGACACTTTCTTTTTAAACTTAAATTCTGATTAAAGATTCAAAGTTATTAGAGCAATCATGGCAATTAGGGCAATTCAGTTCAATAGGTTGAAGATAAAGAAAAAAGAAAGTGCTCTTCGATCGCTTTATATTGGTTATTCTGTCATCCTCTCCAACCTGTTAGTTTTTATTGGCGTTTATACGCAGTTAATGTCGATGAAGGCTAATGTGAGCAGAATCAACTATAAGTACTAAAAAAGCAAAAAATCAAATCTTAAACGATAAACCCGCCTCACTTTTATTGTGTCTAGCCCTGTGATGAAGGCTATTCAACTCCAAGACGAGTGACTACAGTGCTGTAAGACTTGAAATTCCGACTATTTTTACCAATTTCACCATATTGCCATGAGCATTAACCAATGGCATCACGCAAAATTTACTTTTTGGTCCAACTGATTCATTTAATTAACCAAAATTTTTAGTATTTGCTTCACAGTCGATTACTATTCTAATCTTATCTCTCTACCTCGTCCTATTTCACCTAATGTTCCTCCTACAATGAGTATGCATCGAACACCGTTACTTAGGTTATCCTCGTATTCTTTATTTCCAGGACATCAAATTCTTACTAGTCAGTATTTACGACCTTGCCAATTTTATAAACTTAGAACGCGAAAAAGCTGCGAGATAAAATTAAATTATTAAATTTTTTGGATTGAAAAACCATGAGGTGGAACATTCAAGGTTATTCAAGGTCGATTCTTTAAGCACACGCTAATTGACATTGAAAGGTTAATTTCTGAAAATTAAATGAAATTCATTTATTCAAGCACTTTTACATGATAGTATTTGTAATTGTGATGTGATTGTAACATTCAAAAGGTATGGCAGTCAATTGGATCTTTTCTATGTTGAATTTTTTTAAATATTTCACGTTTTCGTGTATTTTTAATATTTGCTTATCGCCATCGATCTTACCTACGAATCAACGCATAGCATCTATTTAGACTATCAGTTTCTTGTCTTTTTTCTGGGAATATCATCAAATCGCATTGTGAATTATAATCAGTTTAATTCAATATTGGACTTTTCGGTTTCTTCCAACTTTACCATTTATATTTACAAATTAATATAGCTTCTGGCAAGCTTTATTTACTATCCTTCGATAGCTTCAAAAGTAGGATCTGGGTTACTTTCATAAAATGGCTTTTAAGCTTTTACACCTATTAGCAATCTAGAACTGATAAAAATACGTTGGTTCGACAACGAAGAGAAATATCCAAATGAACGAAATTAAGCGATGATGATTTATTAGATGATCTGAAAAGAGAAAAAAATTTCAATGATACATTGAAATTAAAAAACATGAAAATACAAAAAAAACTGAAAAATAGCTTGTGACTTACTTTCTCTAGCGGGTTCAATCAGTGAATACCAGAAACAAAAATGCAGCAATTTGAAGATAGGAAAAGGAAAAGATTACTTACCATTTTGATGTATAAATGATAATTGAAATGAGTTGATGCAATGAAAATGGCGTGGTATTTATTGCCTTTTATACAATTTTTTCTCTAATCAATCTATTCTCCATTATCACAATCGCAGCTAACTTAACTACTAACATCATCAAACATGCAGATTATGAATCGTGAGCATGTAAGAATCACATAATAAATGTCAATGTTATTTTTCCTCTTAAATGGTTAGCAACTGTTTGACCAACAAATTTGAATCATTGCAACTTGAAAGCTCTAATACAGGTACAGAACTATTCAGTCTAATTTACTTCACCTTTCATTTAATAGCTTATGAAACAAACATGTTGGGTTGAAGATCATTCAAGGTCATCCGTTTATTTGACCTCTAAATGGCTTCTAAAGGTCATTCAGAAGGGAAAAAATGTGTGCTTTTCGACAATGACCTCCAGAAGGCGTTTAGAGGTCAAATAAATAAATGACCTTGAATAAAATTGAAACTTCGGAAAAAATGCCCTTCAATGCTCAAAAGTATACCGTTCAAATATAAGCGTTTTGGCTCTGCAAATATTGGATAAAGTGCAAAGCAAATGAGGCTGAATAGCCCTGAATTACACTGACAAATCAGCTTTAAAAGTTTATATGTGTAGTTGATACAAACAGTATATGAAATCTATCGTAGCATAACTGCTACAGACTAACAGCAAATCGTCAGGAAATGCGCGTTCAATATTAGTCTCAGATTTAGCGATTTCCCAAAAAAATCCTCAAACCTTGACTCTAACTCTTAACATTCTTTTATCATTTCATTGCAATCACTGAGCTAAAAATTTGCATATAAATGAAAGATTTAATATATTAAATGAATTGTTTAAGCAGACATTGATAAATGAAATTATTGCGTTGAACCAATAAAACGCATGACTGGTGTTTTGTTTAATGTGTATCTCAATTAGCATGCGACTCAATTCAGTGTAGCAATTTTTCTTTAACAGGGGTAATACCGTTACGATAATACGCATTACAAGGAGTATTTTTATGATGCTGTATCACGCTTTTGCACACAGATTGTGATTGGAATCAATCCTGCAATCCTACACTTCTATCATATTCCTAACGAACGGACCATGACTTAGTGCAGATGCGAGTGTGCTAATGTGCAGTGCAAATAAGACTGAGCATAAGCAAAGTTCTGCCTTACAAGCCATGCCAAAACCAAAGCCATGTCGAAAAACAGATTTGCTCATGAATAACATGATGTTGCAAGTTTGTGTCTTAATGGATAGATGGCAATGCTGATTACACATTGAGCAAGTGAAATTTTCAAAAATATGCGCAAATGTAATTCCATAAGAAAATATCATTCTGATCCATGAAATCACTGAGAAAACTATCTTATAGCACAGTGTAAAGAGGCACAATTGCATAAATGTTCACATTTCAGCAAAACTGATTTATTCAAACTTCTATTCAGATGTAAACTTAAAGTCTATTTTCACTTTAACTTATTATGCCTTTTCCATTGAACAATGAAAAAAGCATTTTAACTTTCACATTCTACAGCATTTAACCAATATGAACTTTATTCAATGTGCAATTTTTTGCTCAAATACCTGATAATGTTTAATTCATTTTCATGAACCTTTTCTTTTCTTTACTCACTTTCACCTTTTCATCAGATTATCTTTTCACTTGCCTTACCATCAATACGTCTGTCAAACTCCAGTCAAAGTATAAGTTGAATAAGTTATTATTTTGCTCGGGAAAAATTCAAATCAGATTCCCTTCGATATCATTCAATTTTACTTTTGAATAAATTAACCTTATCCATTCGATTAATATGAAAATGAAAACTTTGACTGGACAAGAAAAGCAAAAAAAGACAAGAAACCAAAATTGAATCGAAATCAATATTGTACTTTAATTAACTCGCCTCGCTTTCTATTGTCTCATGATTGATTAAAGGGGAACATTTTATTAGCCATAATCATGATTGGCATGAGAACGATAAACTTTTCCTTCATTTTCATCCTTTAATTGTTAAAAGAATGATATTGTTAAGGCAAACATGAGCGATCATTTTGTGGTCATTGATTGCTCCTGACATTTGATTGATTCTGATCCTTTATTGATCACTGGCTGGGTCAGCATAGAGGCTCAAAAGGGCCCACTTTGGTCAAGTCAATCTCAACTCGAGAAAACGAACTGCAACAAATTGACCAGCAAAAGCTGACTTAATTCAATAATAAAAGAGCAAAAAATTTGATTCACCATTTTGTTCTTTCGATCAATATTCATTTCGATATTTTAGCATTTTTCTAAGAGCACTTTGTTGAACCATCAGATACAATTTCACGTCAAATCCATTGATGATTACATACCTTATAATTGATTATTGTAAGAAGACTGAAACTCTTAACCTTTTTGCACTTCATGAATATTCAAGTGAAAGACAATATTGATGATTAAACAATATTTTGTGCTTTCAACGAGAAGAAATTGATAAATTGTTTCATAGAAACTTAATAGCTTTTTAAATTACCTTGAAAAATGCCAACTTGTAAGAATGATGAATTGAACTATTTATTCTGCTTTCCATTATTTTAAGGGGAAAATGTTTTAATAATCTAAGCGTTGTTCATCTTTAGTTTTATTTTTCATTTCAAATAAATTCTATTAACTTCTCCGTTAACAGTTAGAATCTTGCTTATTACATTATTTATTGCAACTCCTTTACTCTTTCTTCTTATCATGAAGTTTTCCGTTTACATCAGAGAAAATCATTAAATGCCAACAAATAATGTTTAATATTCATTGAGATACAATTTAACTTTTTTATTTCCATTTTCATAAAGTTATTCCGCTTGCAGTGGTAAGCAAATAATTTTGAAGCTTATAAAATTTTCTTCGCACACTACGTCAAGAATCAGAATATTTTTGTACTAATAATAATAGTCTTGAGATGCTCTACCGATGTGTTGTTTTTGCACCATTCTTTATATCCCCTCATGTTGCAAAAGTATTATTGATGATAGGCCAGATAAGTTTGACGGCAGGTAAATATGCAACCATACAATCTTTGTTTCACGGGCATTTAAATCACCAATTATACTTGAAAAACAATTTCGACAGTGATTTTTATCTTCATCTTCGATTTTTCTAATCGAGAAGAATTATTGGCGAAAGTTTTTGGTCGACATCTAAAACTCAGTCAATGGTATTATTACTTGACGTGATGGTTGGTCAAGATTGTATTTTATGTGCTATAATTTGTCCTTCAAACCTTTATTTAGAGCATAATCGAAGTTGAACTTGTAAGATTTGATATCTCTTTGTTTTACATTTAATTTTTTCTCCGTTTACTTATACATACATCATCATCATCCGGCTCACCATAATCATTATCACTATGCATGCAAACTGTGAATAATCTTACAAATCCATTTTGAGAGTAAACTTGGTACAAACAGTTTACACACAGAAAATGAGATTTCCTTTTTTTTCCTTTCTTTCATAATAAATATCAGATTGGTTAACAGGATAAGGTGAGGCAGAAAAAATGGTTTCGAAGGAAATGATATTGAGTTGAATGGAAAAACTCAGAAAGTTCAAATAAAAGTAAAATAGGGAAATAAAGGAATAACATGATTATCTGGAAAATGTTTTAAATCCATAGGATTTCCGGTAAAAGTTGCTAACTGTTCAACCAGCAATTTCTAGTTCTCATAATTCATATTTTTTAACCTCTTTTCTGTTCACAATGAATCGAGACGCAAAAAAAACTTACACTAATTGTTGATGAAAATGATGAAAAAGGCACATGAAAAATCTGCAATTCCCTGCTTAGAAATGAACCTTAACAAAAGCTTAATAATTAGACGCAACTATTCAGCTAACTTTGACTGAAAACTCGTTGAAAGTTGTCATATAAAAGCGAATTTCAAATTCTTAAATTCCAAGTTCTAGTTTGAATTGCAAATGAATTATTCATTGTAAAACGGAAATCATTGAATCTTTTTTCATAAAAACTGCTCTTTTCATCATTTAATCAAATCGCTACACAAAGAGAGTCACTTCAAGATTTGAAAAACTCGAATTGGAAAAAAGGTTTTCAATAAAGAAGAAGGAAAAGTTCAGTAATTGGATTCCAAAAGAATTTCGAGTTTAATTTTGCCTTCTGATTACAAAGGAAAAACAATGGTCAACGTGGTCAATATATTGAATATTGATGATGGATACACTGTTGACCAGAAAACTGTCAAGATTATGAAAAGTCAAATGGTAAAGTCAGGGGAAAGGATGAATAAGGAATAACAAAATGCATAAGAATGTGACAAAAGTATCGAAATGAAAAAAGTATCAGAATAAAGCAATGAATAGGTTGGCAATAATTCAATAGCCCCATGGACCCATCAACAGTAGCATTAAGTTGAGGCTAAGTTGAAGGTTGGTCAGGATAAAAGGAGGAAAGAAGAAGGAAAGAAATGAAAGGAAAAAAGGTAAACAAGTTGATGTGGAGTAAGAAGCATGAAGAGGCTTGAAATGATGAAACTTCTGTAAGAATAGAGTTGAACTTTTTTCCTTTAATAAATGTACACATTAAACATCTAGGTGATTCCATCTTCGACAATTAGGCTTTTAACTTGCTTTTGTCCATTAGATGCTTCGTTTTTTTGCCTCATTTTTACCCTGTAAAGTTGATCACTTTGCTTGATCCCTTTTGTTATCCATTATTTGAGCTTATTTGATGAAACCAACTTTTTTTATTAGCCTTAACTAGTAAATAGCTTGAATCTTTTTATGTCTCATTTTTTTTCTTTACTTTTATTTTCCTTCTTTACCTGACTCTCTGTTATAGCCACCCTCTGAATTACTATCAACTCTTACCGACCCCTTATTTGTTGGTCAATTACAAGCACACAATGTGACCACACAATCATTATTATTATCACTATTATCAACATCATTATTAACTTCAATCATTTTTTTGATTTCTCGAGTTTTTTCATTTTCCATCACTTTTTTGATCAAAGCTTATCCAACCAGTTCATTTTAGCCCTTTTCACATTTGTATGAAATAATAGTAGTTGCAACGTAGTTGCGACGAAATTGTGTTTTTTAAAAGAATGGTACTTAATTATCATAAAAGCTATAAATGTAAATATTCAATTTTATGCAAAACAGCGGATGGCACATCTCGGTATTAAATGATTATTTAGCATGATGAACATCTTCTAGTTATTTTCAAACGCGAGTTTTGTAGAGTAAATCTGCATTGCTGCCTGTTATAAATTTGGTTCGCAGTTGAATTCATGTCCACAAACTCCTTCGAAATTGAAAAATTGGAAAAATTGAACTTCCCAAACATACATATTGCTGCAATAAAAGACTGAGTGATCAATGAAGTTTAGAGGTTCATCTCAATATCGCTGTGATCACTTTTGATCAGATCTTGTTTGAGTTTACCTAATCAAAATGCTATCCGTTTTCCTTTCCGACTTGATGACTACTATTTTTTCCGTACAACTTGGCAATCAGTTTAAGCAAATAAAAGTCCCGATAAAATGGACTCAATTTCGTTGCGATATTGAATATTATTTGAAACTTTTTTCATTGCAGATATGAACAGAATGCTCTGTTTTGCTGTGACATGATGACCAGCCATTTGGAATGCGATGAAATTATACTGCATCTAACTGTCTAAAATATTATAATGCACAAAAGAAGAAAAATTGTTGAAACTAACTTTTCTTCATTCCTCATCTTATTCACATTGTACATTTTCATGTTGATATTTATCCATCAACAAATGCATTCTTACAATTTTTCATTCAACATTTTTTCTTATCATCCTCATCTTTCTTCACGCAACAGCTTTCTTTACCTTAATTTACACCTCAGTTAACACCAAATAATGCCAAAAATTGAAGTCCAAATTTTGAATCCACAAAAGTATGAAAAGGCAAAAATTGATAAACAAAAGTTTTACAAAAATATAAAAACAAAGTGAGCCAAAAAAGCCAAAAGAAATGTTATGAATACAATAATTTTTTCCCTATTTTTGACGTTTACAAATATTTTACTTTGCATTTCAATCAAATTATCAATTTTTCAAGACAAAGTGACTCAAACGTGATGAAAAAAAGAGAGACTCAAAATGGCTGCAAGTTTGATCATTATTCAGACAATTTTTCCTCTCGATTAAGTTTCACTTTTACCAATCAATTGAATCACTCAAATATCACAATGTCTCATTGAACACTCGCCAAGTCCAACTGCTTATTGCCTTGTTTCAACGTCTCTTTGAGTCCAGTCTAGGAATAGGTGTTTGCATTGAATCTTTTTCACTCTCAATTCAACATTTATCTTTTCCTGAAAAACTATCTGTTAATGTTTGCTAATAATTCATTTTGAATTTTATTGTTTTCAATTTTAGCCTTTTCTTTCACCTTTACTTTTGCATCAATGATCAACTTTATCGTTTTACAATAGCTGACCCAAGTTTATTATCGCCAAATAAAATGATTCTGAGATGAATCATCTAACATTGATGGTAACGCTTATGAGCATGATTCAGCTGCTCAACTTTTATTCAACTCAATCTAGTTTCACCATCCAATCCTATATCATTGTCAACCTTGATTCTGTAAACAACTTTTACCGCAGTTTCCCGAGTTTCCAAATTTCAGCTATAAAACTTTTTCTTGACTTGAGTTTTGAAAAAAAATAATTGCAATTAAACTAAAAAGTTGATCAACAAAGATTTGAAAATTGTTCATTTATGCACCTTTCTGTTTCCAATACTAGGTTTAAAAGTGCATCATGAAACAGGGTAAAATGTGTAAACTTTTGCAAACTCTTATTCAATTGGTGATAATCAACTGTGCACAATCCAATTGGGATGATTGGTGGACTTACGATGGAATTTCAGGTAAATTGAAAAAATTTCTATTCTTTTATCAACTTTTTCCATCCTTTCATGAGATGAGCACCTGAACAAAATCAATGCAAATTTGATTGAAACAATGGATAACAATTATCATTGCAACAATCAGTATCAACATAATTACTGAGGATGAAATGTGAAGTAAATGAAGAACTAGAAAAGTCTGCAAAAAACAAACAAACGTTACAATTAACTTTATCATATGATGAACCTGCCAATTAACCAGTGATGCAGTGATAATTATAACTTAACATATCGAGTTGATCAGGAAGTTGAGTAGCGAAAAAAGTTTGTCCAGTTACAATATTCAGATTTATAAAGTCATCAAAAGGTTTCATTGCAACACTTATTGAACATTTCTTTGGACAATATCAAAGTTTGTCTGATAAAGTAAATTTAATTAACTTTGTCTCCCAATACTCATCTTATTAATCAAGCCCCTGTCAACCTCACTCCCAGCCAAATCTGGCATAATGATATTCTCACTCTTGATCTCACTCCAAGTATCAACTCCCAGCTTCACTCCAACATCACTCCCTGCATAAATTCAATTTCACTCCTAATCTCACTCTCAGCTTTACTCTTTGTAATATTTGCAGTTCCAAATGGACATTAATGACTTTGACAACATTAAGGTCAATCTTGGATATCATGAATTTCATCTTTTGAATCTCAAATTTACTTCACTGATGAAACTTATCATTTTCCGATCTTATTTTTTTCTCTTGATAATCAATAGACTTTTCATTTATCCACTTATCCATATTGTTGTCCACTGTCCATGTTGATGCTTTTTTAATCATCATTATGGATCCATTTTAAAAATGAGTTTACAAACACTTTTCTTTTCACGTTATCCCTGAATGTGTAAATATTTTTGTATCATGTTTAACCGTCACCATCATTGGTATTATTTCAAACATTTATTGAAAATCATTCAAGTTAGACTGAAAAGATTCGGAGAAAAACAAAGAAAAAAAGTGAATGCGAAAAGAAAATTTTACCTCAAAAAGTGATATTTTTGTATCAACAGCTAAATCAACTTACAATTGATTCACTTTTCATCATTTCAAGTTTCAATATTCACCTTCTTTACTGAATAAAGAAGTAAAGAAAAACTTGAAGTTCAATTTGCTTGTTAACAATTCAATGAAAGACAATTTTGAAAGTTGCTTTTTGTAAAAACTTTTCCTCGCTCATTTCATTCCCTTTTTTTGTAGCACTTTTGAGGAGAAAGAAGTAAAAACATAAATATTTGTCTCACTTTTTCAAACTCAATCCAGTAAATTTATATCTTTCCTGAATGATGAAGAAAAGATGAAATTCCTGAATGAAAAAAAAGTAAAGTCAACTTGGACTTTTGAAATGAATAAAAGTGTTTCGATTCATTGAAAATTTAAAAGAAAAGAATAATTCACTTTTTTGTTGTTACCCTTGTACAAACAATTTTGGTCGGAGTAAAGCATCATGAAATGAAATTTCATGCTTCAAAATTATAGGGAATAAAAGAGATTTAAAAAATTGTTTAGAATCATGTGAATTGCGAAAATGTGACAAATATAAAATGATGATAAAAGAGAGAAAAAATGTAACTCAGATTGTTCTTATCATTTACTTGGAACTTTTATTTCAATGTTAAAATGAGCGTATGAAAAGCAAGGGTTCAATTTCAACCTCGAAAGTTCAATCTATCAACCAATCGCAATTTGAGTTGTTTAATTTGAAAGGCAAGTTGAGGCACAAAATTACACTCTCAATGGAAATAAAAAAATGATTGAGTTTCTCAATCTGGTCAGGGAAGTGAAAAAATATGGCAAATTATTGTGATTCAATTGGAGTTGTGATACTTTTTGACCTCATCAATTTGATTCACAAAAGTTTTATCTTTCAAATGTTCATCATTTTTATCACTTCTCAATATTATCATCATCATTATTATCGACACTGTTATTGCAATTTTTATTTCATCTTCTTTTTGTTGCTCTTTCACTTTGCCATCTTTTCATCATTGAAGGTTTACCAAGTTGACCGCAGGAATACGTATAAATATGATGGCATGAGGAGAATGATCGGAAAAATTAAATGATTTCCTTGCAAGTCTATCCCATTGTCATGGTGTTAACATTATCATTAGTTTTATCAGTTTTATTTGACAATCATTTTTCCATTGCAATCAACCATTTATATCTTTCTTTTTTCTTTTTTTGGAGTCAAACTTTATATGGTTGTTATTGTTGCTAGTGTTAGCTTATTTTACAGCCAAATTAGTTAAACATAAAGCTTATTGTCAAGCCATGGTAAATAAGTTGCCAGAAGAATACGATGACCTTAACTTTTTCCGCTTTTTTGATAGTGAAATGGGAGTGTTTGCGTTGTTCTGGACGTGAAAATCCGCGAAAAGATTGAAATGGATTTCATAATAGGAATCAATTCGTATTTTTGTCTAAATGGTTCTGAACCAAAAGTCTTTAGTTAAAATCACAAAAGAATTATGGCTTATCTCTATAAGAAAAAATTGTAAAATCGACATTTTTAACATTTTACAAGTTCAGGACCCATAGAAGCTAACCTTAACGAACTTTGCTTGTTGATTGCTACAACATTACGAGTAAACAAATACGTTAAAACAATGAAACTACACTGCTCTCAGTGCCTCGGTCAATACCATGTCTGGTTAAAAGTTATTGGCATTCAAAATCTTACTAAGTAGCTGAATAGCCCTTTATTATGTGTTCAGATGTGTTTTATTTTTGCATGAGTATAAAAAAGTTGAGAAATCGCAATCAAATTTTAGTTTTAGAATGCTCTTTTAATCAAATTTGATTTTCGATGTTACATAACAAATTTTCTGAATACTTTTAATTTTTTCATTTCATGCGTTTTAGTATTTTATTTCAAATGTTTAATCTATTTTCATCGGCTGGCTTTTGTGGTAAACCGTTATAAACGGTCTTCATGTGAGACACTGATGTGTTGAAGGGATCTGATCCCACTAATTTTGTTTGTCGGCGCCATAAAAAATCGCACATATGCAAATCAGACATAGTTTTCTCACTTCTCCACAAACTAAACGCTTGTTTAGTGACCTCCAACTCGGCTCGATATTTTGAGTGTAGGCTCCGTTGATTGAATCGACAGAATTCTCGATATGTTTAGGTGAGTTTAGCCATAAGTAGATAGATTATAATAACCTCTGCATAGATCAGTATGTATCTCAGTTCCCTGAACTACGTGCTTTCGGATTAGCGGCAGAAGTTCCTCTTAGGTACGGCAATTATTCGGTCAGATTTCGAGGCGATAATCTTTGGTGCCATTTCTCTCGATCTTTGTCAAGATTCAATGGCCTTCCACCATCCTGCCTACGTTAAATTTACGTTTCCGAATTTACATTCATCGTTTTCAATGGTATGCCTGGTCCGCTAATCGGCCCTTATTCCACATATAAGGCATCCAAACTTGCCATACAAACTTCTCTTGGGAACTAGAAAACATCAGAAATTGTTTCACGTGAAACAGTACTATTGTGAGATTCATTAATATTTGTTGTTAGGCTTTGTGTGCCTTTAAACCCCACTTAGAAATCTTAGATTTCTGTCATCGATCGTTGACTCAAATATTGCATCATTGATAACGATTCTTCGAAGCGATACATTTTCCAATATCTAGAAAATCTAGAGTTCTGCATGCAAATAAACGTAAATTGAGCTGTAGTTAAAGGCTCAATATTTGCCATGATCTGATAAATACATATATTTTCAATTGAAATCCAGCTTTCAATATAACATTTTTAATCGAAATATTTCGTCTTACAGGACCTGATTTTTGGGGTCTTCTCAATCCAGAATGGCATTTATGCAGCAAAGGTAAAAGACAGTCACCAATTGACATTAAACCACCTCAACTTCTTTATGACCCATCTTTAAGGCCTCTTCAAATTGATCCAAACAAGGTAACTTTCATTTAATTTCATTATTATCCAATAGCCACTTTCAGTGCAACATTCATGATGACAAACTTAATAGCTGAAAATAAGCTCTTTTATCAGGCAAAAATGATAAAAGTACAAAAACTCTCGAGCTAATAATAGTTGAATAAATCTTGAAATAACAAAGTCAAATGTTGTAAAATTACTCAAAAAGGCATTTAATTTCGAGCCAAGCATTCCAAGAGTTAATCTCATTTAATAACTGAAATCTAGTAAATCCTGATTTAAAGGTAGACAAAAAGTCGACTATTAATCATTTGCTTTAAAAGCCGAAAAAATCTAAATTTTTTCAAGAAACAAAATTCGCAATCAATTGCAACGCTCAACCTTTCAACTACAAAGTTGAAGATGGAGCTTTTCAGCAATGAAAATGTTGAAAATTGTAATCTTTTAATCGTACATTATCATGAAAAGAAACAAGGAAAGGATTAATTTTCAGTCTTTTCATTTGTTCATGTAATTCCATTAAACATCTTAATCATTTTCAAGTTACAATTCACAATGAACATCATTAATGATTCAGTCTTTTTGGACAGTTGACCTTTAATCATGAGGAAAACCTTTTGCTTTGTTTTCAACAAAAGATGTTTAAATATATTTATTTGCAGGGAATTCAATCTGAAACTTTATCATTAACTCGACTAAAGTTTTTGTCAATTTCGTTTGTTTCAATTTTCTTCTCAAATGATTAACAATTTCAACAATTAGACAAATCCTTTGTGTTTTACCCTTTTCAATTGATTCACTTTGATTTACTTTGTTCAATATTTTGTTCAACATTTCAGCTCGTGATTCCTTGCAAACTCAAAGTATAATGTTATTATTATATCATTATATTAACTCTTAATCTTTAAGATAACATTTACTTTTGACTGGTAAAACACAATTCCCAGTACAGTTAATGATAAACCAAAGACTCATTCCAAGTGATTAATTTGTTAAATGTTTGCAAACGGATCAATTGTCTTCATCTGATGTGACCCTTTCTCATCTTTGATTCTGTCTTGTTCAATTTTTTCTTCTTCTTCTCCTTTCTTCATCCTTTATCTTCTTCATCCCCTTCAAGATTCATTCTTAATCAATTAGTTTTCTCGGCTCTAAACAAAAAGTAAACCTTTTCTGGTTCAACATTCAATTGAAATGGAGCAACCATTATATAATATGTATCTATCTAGTTAACCCATCAAAAGCGATTAACTTACCAAATAAAGAGTGAAAAAGCGCTCAACAGAGTCTTTCCAATTCTCATAATGTTCACTTCAATTAACTTTTTGTCCTCTTCAATTAAACTTCATTCTCAATTTCAGTCACTCAACTATTCCTTCATTATCTACTACAGAACAGTGAAAAAATATTTCATGACCAGACAAATGAACCAAGATTGGTCAAGATTTAGAAAATTCAATTTCCTCCAAACATTTATCATCAAGCTCACTTGAAATTAAAAGTTTTCTTGCTCAACAGAACATGCAAAACAGAGGAAATTGAGTCGAATTGTTTAAAACTTTTTTCTGTTCAATACTTTCTTGTCAAGCTCGAATGGTGAAAATGGTGAAATGATAGATTCAAAAGTTTTCTGGTTTGAAAGAAAAACTTTTTATCAAATTTTCGAATTTGAAGTTTTTATCACTTTAAATGTATTTTCAACATTTCAAATGAAGGTTCATTCCTAACTCTTAGCTTTTTGGTTCGCTTCAGAACCAAAAGACTTGTTTAGAAAAATTAAAATGAAGTTACAAAGGTTTTCTATGCCATGAGCTAATTCTGTCCATTTTGAATGTTTTTTCTCAGGTCAGTGGTATTCTTGAAAACAATGGCCATGGGATAATCTTCAGGGTGCAGGAACAAAGTGAGGTTAGAGTAGAGGATAATCTAGTCGAAGAGTCATCAGTCCACATTGAAGCACCGCCAAATCGTATTCAATTATCCGTCAATATAACTGGAGGTCCATTGTCATATTCATACACATTTAGCGCCATTTACTTACACTTTGGACGAACTGATAATCATGGATCTGAACATTCCATTGGAGGCCTAACCTTTCCCGCCGAGGTAAGTTGAAATTCACTTCAACACTTAACAGAAAATTTTTATTCCTTCAAAGGCAACTAATATTAGATCATAAAAATCTCCATCAACATCGAAATTCGAAAAAAAAATTATTTTGACCATCATTTTGAGTAATATTTTTGGACAAACATGAAAAGTTGCTGGATATATAAGAATGTCTCTGTTTCTTTTCTCCTCCAATCACATTAGCTGAGCGATTATTCAAGTTGTCATGCAATACAAAACATTACCTTAATATCAATGGAAATAACATTCTTATTTCCGGTCAATTTTCTAGCTCAATTGAATCATTATACCTAAATGATGGTATCATGAAGAGAAACATTAGTTGAATTATCAGTTGATTCATTTGTTGCAATCAGGGAAAAACAAAATTGCAACAAAAAGCAAACCAAAACACCATTTGAACAATTGTACGATAACAATTGATAAGCATTACAACAACATTAGAATCAGCAGAAATGATTTGCGAAAATGAATATTCATGAGACTAATAAATGAATAAATATGAAAACTTTTCATAACTTAGTAACTAGACTTCACATGTTAGCATGAATAACATTCCCAATCATCCCCAAGTTCAATAAATACAATGGAAACTGAAAGGTGTCATTTGATGACAAAAATTTCACCTTATTTCACTCTCTCAACTTATCCTTTTCATTTGTTGCTCCATTAGCATAAACTAATTGGTTTGATGAACCATGAAACTGAATAAGCTTTTAATTGCTTAATCATCTGAAAAAAACGAATGAAAAAAAGGTTGATATTTTAATCAAAACAATGAGAGTGATTCTCAGCTGAGAACGAAAATGTTCAATATTGACTAATAACAGCGTTTAAAGAATAGACAAATAATTGAATTTAAACTCCCAGGAGAAGGGACTGAATGCCGAATTGTAAAATTGCGATTCCCTGAAATCCGAGAATTTATCATATTCTCTGTGTTGAATCATGTTGAAGAGTTATCAGTTTATGAGGACAATTGATGAGCTCAACAACCATGATTGGGAGTGAAAATTATTGGTTACAGGGAATCCAAATTGCCATTTCGTGCGACCATTTCAAATCCATTTTGATGAACTTATTTCTGCTCGAACCAACTTCAGCATCTTCAGATTATCAGATAAATTCTGGAAAAATATTCAAAGTCACGAGAGTTTAATGATTGAGATTGGCTTGAAAATGTTTGTCCAATTTTGATGAATAAATTAACATTTCTAAATAATCTGTGAGCCAATTTTCATGTGGAAAATTCACAGTGGAAACTATTGAAATGTGTTGAACAATTGAAACATGAATCAACAGATGAACGCATTTTGTGTGTGTTTCATGTTTCAACTGTATTCTCATGAATTTCACTTTTGAAACATTCGCCTTTTCATCTCACCAAATTAACATGATATTAACATGATGCAAGTGTGAAAACAATTGTTCACTTTGTCAACCTTTGAGCATTTATCAATGAAGTAACAAAAAAGCTTCCACACATGAGATAAAAGTGAAACATGATTAGGGCGAGGTTAGGATAACATGTTATTATATCAATCCTTTCATAATCTTCATTATCATCCTGTCTTCCTTTACTCATATTTTTCATCTCTTTGTTGCTATTTTTTTGTCTATCTCTTCATGTTCGTCTTCCTGTTGGAATAAAGTTACAAATAATTGGATATAATTCGGACTTATATCAAAATATCAGTGATGCATCAAATAAAGCCAATGGACTTGTAGCCATTGCACTGCTAATTCAGGTTAGTATTATCATTACATGAGTTTTTTGTTTCTCACTTGTTTCCTATTATCAATGTTATTATCATTGGTTGTTGTTTTTGTTGGCCTGAAATGTTCATCATCAGGATGATGTTGATGACAAGAGAAGTACAACTGAGAAAGAAAATGGAAAAAAACATTTTCTCTCAACTATCTTTATCAGCAATCAGGACAGGAAAAACTAAAAAGTGTCATCATCAGATTCAATTAAATTATGTGCATATTCAATGAAACAACAACATGATAAAATCTGATTCATTAAAATGTAAAATTTTCACTGTTACACTTTTCAGGTTGGAAACAGTTCCAATATGGAACTTAATCATCTGATAAGTCTTGTTCAAGGAATCAGATTTCGAGGTATGTTTCAACCAATTCAATGTTTCAGTTTATTCAATTTCTGATATTCTCAAGCACTTCGATAAAGTTGCAACTTTTTTCCATGAATTTTCCAAACTTTTTCAAATTCTTTGTTGATTAACTTGTGAATTGATTCGAGTTTATTGATTGCATTCTGTGTGAATTTTTGCAGAAAATGAATTCGAATTTTTCTAAATTTTTGTTCATGACAATGAAAAGTGAAATCGAGTCAAAAATCCTGTATGAAAAAGATTTTATTCAAACTTTTAGATGCATCACTTTTCAGACGCAACATTTAAATGTTTAAATATTCAACATGATGGTAATTATGTAGTGTCACATGATGAATATTCTTGAAGTGAGTGATAAACTTTTGATTTACTCATGCTTATCATCATGTTAACCAATCACTTTATCCTTTACATCATCTTTCTTCACCCGAAAGGTGAAAAGAAGTGAAATAAAGGTTGCCCATTTTACCGCAAAAAATGATGCAAATTTAATCTTTTCATTTGTAATGTTGACAAAATAAAACGCTTGATAATGATTCAAAATTATTCATAACGTGAGTTGAAATGTTATCTTGAAAGATTTTGTTGTTTTTTTTCTTCTTGCCGTGAAACTCACAAAAATGCACGTTCATCAGTCCAGGTTTTTGTTGGTTTGTTTTCATTTGACAAAAAAAATGGTAAAGTAAATAAACTTTTCAACTGACAATCATTTTCATGATGATGTTTTTGCTCATCAATTTCACTTTTTTTCACCCATCCAACCTTTTATTCAACTCACGTAAATGATAATTCAATCATTCCAACATTTAGACATTACAAGTTCAACAATGTAAACATTTAATCTGTAAGATGATGCAGTTATTGCACAGTTAATGAGAAATTTTTTCTCCACTTGCAACAGGTCAAAATACCACCGTCAAAGGATTGTCAGTAGGTGATCTTTTACCTGAACGAGTTCATTACATGACATATGAAGGATCGCTGACCGTTCCAGGCTGCCATGAAACAGTGACTTGGGTCATAGCAAACAAACCGGCAACCATAACAGCTCATCAGGTAAGCACAAGGTTCAACCTCAACTTCATCCATCAGTCTCGTGACCAACCCAACTCGACTAGTTCAAGTCAACCCAAGACAAGCTCATCGCTAGGATCACTTTAAGTCAATAGTTGAGTCTCTTGTGAGTGTCAATGTTCAATGTACAAAAGACTTTAATTGACAATTGTTTGCTTTCAACATTTCAATATCGGTGAATATGTTCAACTGTTTCAATTTTGTTTCATGTTATTCCAGATGATTTGAGGAAAAGATTTAAACTCTCATCAAGTACCATGAAAATGGGAGGAAAATTGAAAAATTTTGAAAGTTTTTTTCTTCCTCAGTAAAGTGAGGGAAGAAGTAAAGAAACAAAAAATGTCAAAAGACAGACTAGTTGAGTTGATTCAACGGAGTGTAAAAAAAGTAAAATATATAATAATAAATATATTCTTATACGATTGTTCAATTGTCATGGAATATGCATTGTCCTGAATTGAACTGGGAAAAGTCAGATAATGTAGCATTATCATTATTAGTTTTGAGGTATTGGGAGTTAAAAAAAAGTGAGGTAAAAAAATATTGCAGCTCAAAAAGTAATGGATTTTGATTCATCAAATTGAATTTCATCAAAAGTTGAACACAAAATGAAATCTCAATTGGAAAATTTGCTTTCACTATTTATTTTAATTCCCACAACACCGATAACAATCTGAATCAACCACAGAATCATTTATCTAACCATTTACAATAAAAAATATTTCAAGAGAAACCAAAAATTCGAACTTTTTTTCACTTTTTTCTCTATTATTGGACACCATTTAATTTGCTTTCAATCATCAACTTTTTTTATTATTTATTCATCTTCTCTTTTTCATGATAGCTTTTCTTGTTGCGCAAATTGATGCAAGGTGAATCCGACCTGCCGAAGGCTCCATTGGGCAACAATTTTCGTCCTCTTCAACCTTTGAATGCTCGTTTTGTGCGAACCAACATTGACTTCAGACGACGTCCAGTAAGTTACATTTGACTCTTAAATTCTGCTCTGCTTTCAATTCGTGCATTTCCCAGGTGCAATACAAAAGTTCAACAAAGTTTTTCGAATTTTCTCTTGAACTTAAATCTCCTTTAGTCTTCTAAAAATCTATCAATTTTCATGATAGTCCATAGCTGTGGACAGACTCATCAGTTCTTTGAATTCATCAGTTGTCATTAAATGTTCAGGAATGAGCTTTTTATGCTCCCGGAGCCGATTTCGCGAATCGAATGAATGCTTAGAAGATTAATAATAGGTCTACTCGACTCTATTCTGTCGATGAAACAAATAAATTGATTTTTTCGTCTCATCGATTCGACATCAAAAACGGAGCATTTCTTTGACTTTTTTTGAACTCCATTTTGGAGATTCTTTTTGAATTTCATTTTTCTCCTCATTTGACTTCACTTGAAGAATGCCATTCTGTTGAGGAAAAGTTTACTCATGAATTTGATTTATATTTACAGGGAGAAGATTGTCCCACCATGAGGAAAAATATGCATTATCAGGGTAAGCAATTTTTTCTTTCAGCCTACCTTTTCTTCTTGTTACTGGAACAAACCCCCAAACTGAATAAACTGCCCATTTAAGCTCAATATCGTAACAATAATTTTGTTTTGTATTCTACTTTTTTGTCTTCATTATCCACAGTCAACTCTAAACATATCAAAATATGAAATGAAAGGCAAACTCCTTGGTGACATGCAGGTGAATATATCAACTTGGAAAGAGACAAGATTGAATAATGAAATTTTCTCAGGCAGTCACAGAAACAATGGATAAAATTGAAATGTTGAAACAAGCAAAAAAAGTGCCTTCAAGTGGTGGAATGACAATAAGAGCAATATGCGAGTTGTGATGGCAAACAATTGATTAACTTGGTGGATCGATGCTAATTCAATAAATGTTTTCATCATTGGTAAAAAAACATTAAAATGGTTAACTCTAGCAACTGGTTAAATTGGCACCAAATAGGAAGACAAGGAATTGAGGAACAATTTCAAGTGGACTTCATGTTTTACTTACCTTTTAAACCTCAAATTGAACTTCTTTTTCTCCTCTTCTTTCCCATTTTAATTGGCAAATTTTTTAGAAAAATATTGAACTTGGTTAGATAATGAATTAAATCCACTTTGCTTACCTGTAAAAAGAACCTAATGATGAACATTGAAAAATTATTGTACAAAAAAGATCGCTTTGTTTCCATCCATTTATTGACAAAAGTCATTCTTTTATTGACATTGGTCACTGATTGTGGGTTGAAACTTTGCTCCTGTGCTTTGGTATAAATCAATTAAACTTTGACAATCATACAAGTTTAAAAATTTAATCAACTCGAGTAATTTCTCGTAACCTTTAGTAAAAACTTCGATACAAGTGAGTTAAGCTTTTTTCTGGGGAATCGTACCGACTTGAAATTTTCAGGAAATGATTATAATGAACATATCTCTGTACAAATTACAAGAAAATACCTTGAATTGATTATTAGATTTTCGCATTAATTACTTTCGCTTCAGTCAGCTCAAATGCTTCAGTGTTGAATGTTCTTTTCGATGCGTTAGTTTTTAAGTCGTGTAATTCTTATTGCGTTCATGAACTTCTTTCTATTGAAAAATTCAATCACCTGAGGTCAAAGCATATACTGGTAATGAGGACTTGAACACGTTGAAATCAATTAATACAGGCAGATTAGTGTAGTAAACCTTTGAAAAAAAATTCTAAGCATGAAGGAAACTTATAAAAACGCCAAAGAAAAATTTTGTCTCTGAGGTTGGACGTTAAATTATCCTACCAGAAAATACTAATTTTTAGCTTTTGAGTGATGTATAAAATGTTTGATAACTGCTATTGCTTAAACGTGAAATATCATCTGAACAATTTTTATCAAAGTTTTTCCGCACAGGTTATTTTTGTGGGTCGGTACAACATTGCGTTTTGATTCGATGATATTTACAATTCAGACCATTAACTTTAAACTTTTATGGGTTCCTGTTGATAAAATACGTTAGGTTTATGTGATTGGGTTAGCTATTAAGTCATTCATAGTCTCGATCTTTTCAGGTTCAATGAAATTTGTCTCGAGTCAAAGAAGGTTTGATTACCTTTTGACAGTCACTTCAGCCGTTTTAAATTTTCATGTATGGAGGAAGGTTGTCTATAATTCCTATTCGACTACAGTCAATCCCCATCCATTTTGACAAAAAACCAAATCAGGTGGCAACTCAGAAGTTCAATTTTGTGTTTTGCAATTTTTGATATTTTCGCTGATAATTATTATTTACTTATGTGACGAATATCATGATTAGCTATAGTAGAAAATTAAATTTTAATAATTTCATTGCAGTTTCCAATTCAATCGTCAGATGGCGCTGATATTCTTGTCAAAATTCAGTAAAGTCTCGATTTTTTTCACAAAAAAATGGTCAGAGAAAATCAAGACAGCTCCATCTAGCAGAACTGTAAATGACTACATCACTATGCGCAGTTAAATGCAATTTTATCAAACTGTTATTTTGTTTAACACCACATTTAATAACGACAGCTAACATTAATAGTCAACATCGAGAAACTACATAGATCTGAGAAAAATAGATTTGACTCGAAGTTATATGATGCAACAATCTCAGGTTGGCCTTAGTGGCGTACGATATTGAAAATAAAAATTTATCGAAGGTTACAATAGAGAGTCAATTTTGAGGGTGTATCTTACACAAGAGCACTTCAATGCTTGCAATAAGTGGTATAATACGTGGAAAGTCACATATTTTTCACACGAAATATCTTTTATCTCTTCAAATGGCTTCAGAGCAATCACAACTTCTACAAGGCAGCTTATCGAAACATTCAAATCAAGAGCACGTTTTGCGTTGATTAGTGATACATAAGAAAATTTCAATATGTAATGATAAATAGCGTTTCAGCATGTGATTGGTTGAGTTACAACGCGTAATCACATCTTGAAACAATTCTAATCATGGTAATTCATTTCATTTTTTGCTTTTGATTTCATCGCTGGTAGTTTATCTAGTTGCTTTTTCTTCTTTTCGTGAATCTTTCAGTTTTTTTGCTGCGTGAATGGTAAGACCAGCTCATTTAGAGCCAAATCAACCTGACACGAACGGATGGTGATGCTGATGGTGAGGATTGCGATGCCACCAGCATTGACGAAGAAGAATCAACAGGCGCAGTGGCTAGTGGGAACCATCCGGTTACTAAGTTTTTGCGACAAGGCTACTTAAGGATAGGTGGTGAACAAGTTCACCGCATGACCAATTCCTTCTCTCAGGCTCAGGACGTGATCACCGATAAAGATGTGCCATGGGACCTTCAACCAGGCGATTCTAAGTTATTTAGAATAAAGTTGGACGGCCAAAGAAAAGGACCCTAAATATTGCTGTCGATACTGCAGCCAGGTCTTTCTGGTCGTTGAGGTGGAACTCGTCACGAGCAGTATTGCTACAGATGGCTCTGATCCATCACTTTTTCGATCAAACCATCAGGTAAACCTTTTATAAAGTCGACATCCATCATTGTGTTGAATAATTTTTGATATTCTGCATAAAAATAGGAAATTTTTTTAGAAACAGGATTGAAGAACCTTCCAACATTGTGCATGAGCTGTCTTAGCCAGAATGTTTTACCACAACACTTGGTCCAGCTATAAGCCTAGTAAATGGATGCTTTGAATAAAGCGAATACATTGTTATGAATTGATAGATAGTTTTGTGTGCCGTTTTCATTTTTTCAAAAGGATGATGAAATACGCATTGTCTATGAATTGAAAAGAGATTTATTGAATGAATTAAAATGAGATTAACGATTTAAGGCACAGAATTTTAGAAAATTAAAGGAAATCAAAGCAAATTAGAGTTAATTAAAACAAATGATGATAAAAAAACATGGATGAGGCAGAGATTACTCATTTGAGTGATCAGCCAAACGATTTAGTTCTTAGATGAAAAAGTCATTTTCTCAATGAAATGCCAAAATGCTGGATTTCGACTCTTCAGCTTGCGATTCAACCTGATTTGAGAGGGACCGGTTAACATCCGAGATGAACTCACATACTCGCAAATGTTGAGCCCTTTGTCTCCTTGTTATTCCCTGGAGAACGTAGGCCAAACAAAAAGCTAACATTTTTTCAATCAATCTTAGTAAAAATGATAAGAATCGGCTGAACAGTTGCTGAGCTGTGAGCCTTCAAGAGTCCGACCTATTGACCGGAACACCTTGTACATGTAACATTCAAGCATTAAGTGTTTAAATTGAGAAAGAGAAATGGTCAAAATTATTCTCCTCTCTCTTTATACTGTCTATTCCCCTGTCTTATTTCTTATTCTCAACAATGGTCAGAAGGGTAAAACTAACTCTTTATTGAAACTAAAGGATTATTGAGTTGAGTTGAAATTATGACTCCAAAGTGGTAACTTGAAAATGTCTGGAACTAGAGCTTGGTCAATTGGACCTGGTACTTATTTAATTATTAGTTTAACTAAATTTTAGTTAATTTAAATGGAAATTATTGTCCACAAATGGTTATTATTAATAAATGTTATTAAATGGCCTTAAAATATTACATACATTTTGTTACATTGATTATTTGTTTTTTTTCAGATTTTGATATTTATTTTCTTTAAAATTAAATTCGTATTGAATAAAATATTTACTGTTCAAATTTGCCGCTTTTTTATTCTTTAGTACAATTTACATTAAATGGCATCTAAGCAAAAAACGCAATGAAAAAATGACATTGAATGGCATTGTTATGCGTCTCACTTCTCTGTATATAATGTACCGTACAGTAATTGGCATAAACGCTGAAGCTACACCTCATTTGTCAATTTCGTTAAATGTGCGTTGCTCTGGCATAGTTGCCAACATTGACTGGGTAGTCCCGTAGCAGCTGCCGTGTCACAACGAATTTTCATTGGTTTTTGTCCATCTCGATTTACCGAGAATTCGTAATATGTAATCTCACAATCAATGTGACTTATGGTTAATTAAAAAAAATCAGACTGCGGGTGGAGGATCAAAATAAATCTCTTTTTGTAAATCGTCTATGAATTTCATTAATTTATTGTACATGCAAAATCTTCCCTAGCGTGGTTTCAGTTCTGATTATTATTTCATTACTTCTATGCATTCTCCACGTTTTTCACGTGTTAGCGGAAACGCGACATTATTTCGGAAAATGGATGCCAATAATAAATTCAGAATAGAACTTGCACCTTGCAAGTGTGCAACGAAAATTTTATGAAAGCACCGTCTGAGACAATTTTTGAGTTGACTCACAAATCATACTCAAAAGTTATATTACTTGTTGGTGTCGATGGCACCTATTGGATTGGACATTCACTAAAGGAGCGCAAACTTTATTTTTATTTTCAAATTTGGCGGCAAGAAATTCGTAACCAGCAAATAACCGGTCATATGTAACTAGAAGTGAAGAACCACAATTACAGACACCAAAATTGCCTTGAAATGATCTACAAAATCCATCTCGATGTATCTCATAGCATTTCATCGGTCAATTATCATCATGCACGAGCAACTTCACCGAATTGCGGCCTTTATCGGCTTTTTGTATCAATTTGAAGGTAATTTTCGGTGTCTCCATCTAACGCTTAATTGTATCGAAGTACAACAATAGTGTTTAAGAGCGCACAATCATCTTTTATCATCTTTGGATGATAAGAGAGACTCTCTTTTTTCTGGAAAGTTGTTCATTCATTTGGCTACTTTATTTGATGTTAATTGAAAGATGAGCTGAGTTACACTTCTGAGATGTTCATTATACTTATTAATCCGTTTAATAGTATTGCTTTTTTTGTAAAATTATTGTTACTTTTGTTATTGTGTTTACCCTTCAACTCAATTAATTGTATTAAAATAGTGAATCTTCAGGAATCAATTAGTGAACTCGAAGATTATGTTAAAAACTTGACTGCTCAACTACGAGAAACTGAATTGCGTTTATCTAAAGTCGAAGATGATTGTCAATGTGGATTGCATTATCAACAATCAGAATCCAATAGAAATAATTTAAATCATAAAATATCTATTGTCAATTATCAACTTGCTAATCGTGTGAATAATAGTTCTGTTAATTTAAATTTAAACTGTTTATCCTCAAATGGCTCTGCAATTGAAAATGGATCAAGTTGGACATCAAATTGTGATACATGTAAATGTATAAATGGTTCAATTGATTGTAGGCGAGTCAAGTGTCCATCACTCAATTGTAAATCATCGTATTATTTAAATGATAAAGATTGTTGTCCAGTTTGTCATAAGAAGTGCTTAAAGGATGGCAAATACATTGAACATGGTGATGTTTATATTAAAGATTGTGTTAAATGTGTTTGTGAAAGTGGATCATTAAGATGCAAAAGGATTAATCCATCCACTTATTGTCCACCATTGAATTGTCCAGTTGATAAACAATTTAAAAAAGATGGTGAATGTTGTAAATATTGTTTAGGTAAGTTTAGTTTAGTTTTACTTTGATCTGAATATTTTTCTGAAAGTTTTCAATTTATTTCATCTAATTTTTCATCTTCCATAACTTTTTCTTTTCATTATAAGATTATGATTTTTGTGGCCAAGGACATGATTGTCATCCAAATGCAAGTTGTCACAATTTAAAAACTGAATATACATGTAAATGTAAATCAGGTTTTTGGGGAAATGGTAAAGATTGTCATGATGTTAATGAATGCCTTGAACTTGGTGGAATCAATGGTCACTTGTGTAGAGATAATTCAAAGTGTGTTAATACAAATGGATCTTATTATTGTCAATGTTTACCTGGATTTAAGAGAAGAGACTCACTCAATTGCATCGGTAAATTTATTTTATTATTGACTTTGTTCATTATTTTAATTTCAATTTTTACTTTTATTTTTATTTTTATTGTAATAATAGATATAAATGAATGTGAATCTGGTGGGAATCATAAATGCAATGAAAATGCAGCCTGTATAAATACTGAAGGAAGTTATTATTGTAAATGTTTACCAGGATACACTGGAAATGGAACTCATTGTAATCGTAAGTCCTTTTCCGAAGTTGGTATCCGTTCAATATTAACATTAATGATTTGAATTTTACAGCAATTTGCAATAAGAAATGTGCCAATGGAGGTAAATGTATTGGACCAGATAAATGTTCATGTAGAAGAGGATTTTATGGAAATTATTGTGAAAAAGGTTTGTCTTTTCTTCTGTTTATACCTTTTTATCGTTAAATCTCATAATGTCCTCTCCATTATTATTTTTATCCAGATATTGATGAATGTTCATTGAATATTCATCATTGTCCAGTAAACTCTGAATGTATTAACAAACCTGGTTGGTATTACTGTCAATGTTTGTCTGGTTATACAAGTTTAATTGAAAGAAACGATTCCAATTATCAATTGAAATGTATTGGTAAGTATTGATATTGGGGTTACAATGTAACTCTTTTGACGCCATCAAGTCTAGACATTTGTCTTGTCTTTATTTATACATTTGTATTAATTTTTGGTTAACCAATTTTTACTTTTAACCAGATTTGGATGAGATTTGGATGAATGCAATGAAGGAATAGATACTTGTGATGAAAACACAATTTGTGTTAATACCGAAGGCAGTTATAGATGTGATTGTCCATCAACTATTTCGTCGTCATCCCAATCACAATTACAATCACTATCTTCGTTGTCTTCATCATCATCATCGTCTTCCTGTTCGCAAGACTGTGTCTATCTCGGCCAAAGACGTTCACATAATGAAACATGGGAATCAGAAATTGATTCATGTTCTCAATGTTCCTGTTCTTCAGGCGTTACTAATTGTTCAAAATTAGAATGTGATTGTTCTAATCCTAATCATGTTAATATTGATTGTTGTCCTAAATGTCAAACAACTGCCGACTGTGTCGATCAAGAGAATGATAAATTGAAATATAAAAATGGTGAAAATTGGTTATATAAATGTAAATCATGTCAATGCTCGGTAAGTTGATAACGATTTAACACTTTCATTTCATTTCAATTGATTCATATTTTGATGCCAAGATATTTATGGTTATAACTGGCAACAAACGAAATGACATTTAACTTTTTGGCTCATTGTTAATGTATTAGTTTGTTGTTGGTATTAGCTATAAGTTATTGGTAATAAGGTTGGTCAAAATAAACTAACAAACAAATTTTTTTACTCTACAGTTTGGTGAAGTTGATTGTTATGACATTGATTGTCCACCAGTACAGTGTAATAATCCAATAAAAGGTGAAGATGATTGTTGTCCTCGCTGTGAGGATGATCCATGTGAAGACTTGTCACCAAGTTCATCAACAGCTTCATTTGACAGAAAAATATTTAAATCGAAATCTCAATCTCAGCGTAAAAATGTGACTCAATATAAATCTTCTAGCTCATCATCATCAAGATCAATAATAATAATTAAACCTGGAATCTCAATAAACTCAACAATCTCTCATTACAATAAGCATAATCCTGGTTGTATGTATCTTGGCAAATCTTATGAAAATGGACAAAAAATTGCAATTAAAAAAGATCCTTGTGCTTCTTGTAAATGCAAGGTAAGTCGAGATATGAAACTAATTTAGACGATCATGTTTATTGTTGCCAAGTACAGTTTGTAACAGTTGAACAGTTGAATAAGAAGAAAGGATTTTATCAGACTTCCAATAAGAATATTTTATTCACTTTCTTTTCTTTCTCTCCCTCTCTTACTTTTTAATCTCCTTCATCATCATCATCATCATCATCATCATTATGTGCATTCATAACATCCTTCATCTTCTTCTCCCCAAATGTTTTTCCTCGACCACAAGGTGTTATCCATCGCCCTCTCTTTCCCTCTCTTTCCTCTCTTTCTCTTTCTCTCTCCATTACTCTCTTCTTCCCCTCTCATGTGTCGCGTGTGCAGGAGCATTGGACTACCGGTGACTGTAGCACGCGTCACGCGCTTTTACCTTCATCTTCTTGTTTGAAGAAAGTAGTGTAACTGTGACTCGTGCCAGTGTCGAGTTCACCTGGTATTTTCTCTTCTCTTTTTTTCTTCATCGCCAGTAACATTATCTTTTCTTTTGATCCTCATCCTCATAGGCATCTGCTTATTCCCTTCTCTTAACAGTGATCTATTGTAATGTTATTTAGATTGCCCCTTCATTTCTCTCTCTCTTTTCTCTTTCATTTTCATCAACTTTTTCTTCTTCCTTTTTAATTCACCTTTACCTTCTGATCATCTTTAATTCTCCCTCAAAATCAATCAAACAGTTACATAGCAATGTGTTTGTTGTAATATCAAAATGACCAAACAAGAAAAAAGTCAATTCTTCTCTATGACAATTTTTCATCCGTTATTTGCTTATTTTCATTTCCATTGCCTTAATCCAATCGTAAATTGAGGTCGAACACACATTTGACCTGAAATCAACATTCATAAGTAAAATGTGTTTGTGCTTGAAATGAACAATTTTAGGGTAAAAAACATATACTTTACTCTCTTCAAAGATCTCAATATTCATAGATGTTTTCATTGTTATTTTAGGTGAAAATATTGACAAAAATTATCCTTTATTTACTTAAAAACTAACATCCAAACAAATTGAAAGGCAAATTATTAGAATGAAATAATAACATGAAAATGGGTTTCAGTGTTTTACCTCTTTACTAGACTCATTATAATACAGATTGACAACAGTAAACAATAACCAATCAACACAATTATAATAATTATTAACTTACTTTCAAAGTGAATCAACAAAACAAAAAAATGAAAGTAAAGTCAATAATGATGATGATATTAAATTTCATTGTAATTCAATAACTTTGTGCCTGAAGCCATTTTATGGTCAAAAATGTAAGCATTTTTCAGAAAATTTTGCATCAACCAAACAAAATAATAATTGAACTGATAAATCCGAATGCTTCATGAAATTGTTGTTGCCTGAAGAGTTTCCAATATTAAAATCCATATTATGATGAAAGTTATTAATTATTGATATAAATAAATGAATGATTCATAAAATAACGGTTATGTTATATGCCATTGAACTTGATCATGTTTTTATTCCTGTCCTTCAATTTATAGTAACTTCGTCATCATCATAATCATAACCATGTCACTCTCACTCTCACTCATTATTCCTCTCTCTCATCCTCTTTCCTCCCTCCCTCCCTCTCTTCCTCTGTCGGTCTCACGACACCTTAACTTTGTTTGTTTACCTTTTCATTTACATGGAAACCACAATAACAATTCAATGCTGTTTCATTTCTTTCATTTCATTATTCCTTAACTTTCTTTTCAATTTTAACCAATTAATTCAAATCAATTAATCCTAATCAACTAATCATATTTATTTCTTTCCTTTTGCATCATTTTTTTACCAATGATTATTGACCAATTATATCCAGATACCCAAGTGAACGTTCAGCTCAATCTA